TAAAGCACCGTCACAGGCACCAACCAAGGCTCCAACCGGTGTGCCTACCCGGGCTCCAACCAAAGCTCCAACTAAAGTGCCCAGTAAAGCACCAACACAGGCACCAACCAAAGCTCCCACTAAAGCACCTACACAGGCACCAACAAAAGCTCCCACCAAAGCACCCACCAAAGCACCAACACAGATGCCAACTCCAATGCCAGTTCCTTCTGAATCTCCTACAACTGATACCAGTAAGCAGATTGATTTGTATGCTGTGAAACTGTCATGCTTTGCTTACATTTTTTTAATGCCTCCTCTTTGCAGTTGTCTCTGGTAGGGAAGAGCTGCTTGCTGCCTTGGCGTCAACACTGTATGGCCCAACCAGTCCCTATGGTCCCATTGAGACATGGTAAGTTACCAAATCATTTGACAAAGTTGAGCTTCCAGGCGGTCTCCTTGTGTTGTGGTCCATCTCATACTGTTGTCTGGTAACAGGGATATCTCCCGTGTGGATAACTTGTATCGGGTATTTTCAACACAAGAGGGGACTACTAGCTTCGATGCTGCCAACTTTGATGAGGATATATCTGGATGGGTAAGCTTTGAAGAACGATTCTGGAGATGCCATGGGGTTTCTTGACTTAACCTTTCTTTGGAAATATGGTACAGGATACATCAAGTGTTACAAGTTTTGTGGTACGATTCTTCCCTTGATTCAGGCATGCCAAGTTTGCCACTGTAGCTAACATGTGCACTGAGAATACAGGAGACTTTTAGTGGAGCTCAAACAATCAACCAAAACCTCGCTGGATGGGATGTCAGCAATGCTGATCCGGGGGGGTTTGTTGGCACGTAAGTATTGTACCATTGCCTTCAGTGAACAGTAACAGTTTTGCTGGAGTGCCCCTCACATTCAAAAATCGACTTTCGGCTGGTAGTTTTGCTGGGGCCAATTCTTTCAATGGTGATGTCTCAACATGGGATATCAGTGGAGCTACTTCTTTGGAAAGAATGTAAGTGACACTTGGAGCATATTGTTCTCTTCCTTTCATTGGTTGGTTGAGTTCCTTACCCATTCACTTCGTTTTCCGTGCCAACAGGTTTCAGGTATGGGTTTCAGTCGAGCAGAGCCCTTTTTGCATGCCATCCTCTTACAAACTAAATGTCCCTTCACTTGCAGGGTGCAGCATTTTTCGACCGAGATCTTTCCAACTGGGATGTGAGTTGTTGGGAATTTCTTTTTGCTTTTTATCTCATTGGTTCCATTTCTGATTATTGCTTCTGTGTCTGTTGAGTAGGTATCACTCAGCACAAGCTTTTGTGAAATGTTCAAAGGTGCGACCCAATTCAACCAGCCTCTTTCTGGATGGAACTCCAAAGTATCAAATGCAGAAAGCATGTGTTAGTGAGTGAGACTATGTGCCTTAGTTTAGATGCCGATCTGTTGTCTTGGACACTGGTAAACTGACATCTCTTCTGTTGCAGTATGTTTGAAGCGGCCACCCAATTCAACCAAGACATTACTGGGTGGGATGTTCAAAAAGTAACAACTATGCAGGGGATGTTTAAAGCTGCCACAAAATTCAGCAAGGTAAAGGATAGAACGGCCTGTGTTGCATTGCTTGCTGGACTGCATAGCATGCTGTCCTCTGATGGTACCCTTGTCTTGTGCATTCCTCAGGATATATCTGGTTGGAGCATAAACAAAGTGCAAAATTTTTCGGTAAGATGCTTTCCTTTGCTTGCTTCAAGCATGCCAAATTTGCCACTGTAGCTCACATACATGTGCGATGAAACTACAGGAGATGTTTCATACAGCCCTTCAATTCAGTCAAAACTTGTGTCCTTGGAGCAGCAAAATGAAGTAAGTCTTCTGCAACTACAACTGCCCTGCAACTCCCCCACCCTGATGTGGGACAACTTCTCACACCATGCTGTCACCTGCCTATTGGTTACGTCTGCTACAAAAAGAACGGATACCCAAGATACCACGAACATGTTCCTCACAGCTATCATGTGTCAATCTCAAACAGCCCCGGACTATACTGTATCCCCCATCACTCCCATCTGCTTCGTTGGCTGTACTTGAAGTTCCCGAACACAAGAAGGCACCGCCCCTCTGCCACATTGGCTGTACTTGAGCGAGTTCCGAACAAACGCAAGGCGTCGACCAGCTGGTTGTGTCATACACATGCCACTGTAGTGTCACAACGGATCCTTTGTTTTCCCTTGCGGCACCTGTGTGAAACCGACATGACACCGAAGGTGACGCAGCCGGAGCAAAAATTGATTCAATCGAAGCCATGGATGGGTTTGTGATGAGGCTGCGATTGATTCAATAGAATAGAATAGAATAGAATAGAATACGTCTTGCAAGCTTGCAAGCTAGCCAGCTATCGAGTCAACTCTTTGTGCAACTCCTGACTGGCTCTAGCTAGACTTGTCACGGCTGCGGTACTTCTAGATACCGTACCGTAAAGCTAGCTATCTCGAACTTGGGGCTTGAACCCTCGATCTCCGAACACCGAGTTGCGTCCTTGGGTTGTGGCTCGGGTGGCGTGGGCTGTGAAACTACATGTAATTGGCAGCTCGCAGCTTTATTGCCACCGAGGATTGCGTCAACGTCGTGAAATTACGTGGATCGATGTGGGCCGAGTCGAGTCGAGCCCACTGTATGTCGAGTCATGCCCACGTGTGCAAGGGATTGGACAAGGATTCTTCTTTGAAACCGTTGTTTATGATGGATGTCATCAATGCAACAGCCCAAGGGTTCTCCATCATTCCTCTACAACATTGCACCGTACCAGTCTATGGAAGTGAAGCTCATAGTTGCTGACAAGAAGAAGGCCACATTGAGATAGTTTTTGCCTTCATCTTTGATACCAGTGCTTACCTCTGATACCCTTCTTGTTCTACCCCGGATATATCATAGTACCATCATGTCTCCCGCTATTAATAGTAGCAGCCCCGAAAGTCCCACGGCGACAACGACCCCCACCTACTACGAGAAGGGTTCGGTGGAACTTGCGGTGGAGACTCCCGTCATGATGAAACGCTTGGAAAAGAGACGAACTCTGACGGGAGGATCCAAGGATGCCGAACGACTCTTGATTGTGCTGGTGGGTCTACCGGCACGTGGGAAATCCTTTATCGCTCGCAAGCTCTTGAACTATTTGGTCTGGCGAGGCAATCAGTGCCGCATCTTTAATGTGGGCAAGTATCGACGACAACAACAAGTCAACGACGAACAGGACGACGACAACAACTTGAACAACAATAGCAAGCAAGATGCCAATTTCTTTGATGACACCAATGCCACGGCGGCCAAGTTGCGTCAAGAAGCTGCGGAAATGGCCCTCAAGGAAACCTTACAGTGGCTGGAAGGATCTGCCGGGTTACCACTGATATCCGATCTTCAGGATTGCAGCAATGTATCCTTTAGTTTCCGCACCAATAGTGGAGCTTCTTCAGCAGCAGAAGATGACAGCAGTACGTCTACTGGCAACAGCTACTACGAAAACGCCATTCCCGGCCACATTAGTCACAGCCAACGACGGCAGTTCCACCGAATTGCCATTTTTGATGCAACCAATTCCACCAAGGAACGACGACAGTGGATCTTGCAGGAATGTGCCAAGGCCGACAAGGTCTACCAAAAGCGCACGGGGGTACTTTTTCTGGAAAGTATCTGTGATGATCAGGAACTTTTGCAAGAAAATTTCAAGGTCAAGATCTCCTCGTGTCCGGATTTTGACGGCATGACCGAAGAAGCTGCCTTGATGGATTTGCAATCTCGCATTGCCAAGTACGAAGCACGCTACGAGACTATGGACGATCATCGTCAGAGTTTCATCAAGATCTTTAACCTATCCAGTCGACTCATGGTCAATCACATTTACGGCCGTCTTGCCAAGGTGGTCCTACCTGCCATTATGGCATGGAACACAGGAAGTCGACCCATCTTTCTCTGCCGTGCCGGTGAGACGGAAGCCATGCAAACGTACATGCAACAACAGCAACAACAAAATGAGCAGCGGCAACAACAACTCGACAAGTTCGAGTCGTTGGTCGATAATCGCATCCATCGCAAGCGCAGTGATCGATTGGGGGAACGTGGCAGATGCTTTCGGGATGCGCTCTGTGGCTTTGTGGAACAAGAGGGCATGGCTTTCATGAAACGACAAAATGAAAACGCCGCGACCAAGACACGCATCAACATTCCCGGCAAAATGGACACGGGTACCAGTATTTCGGGTCTCTACGAAGAAGAAGATCATCCCTTTGAGCATCAGAGTTGTGTTAGCGATCAAAACGACGCTGATTTGCCCTTCCCCTGCTTGGTCATGAGCAGTACCATGCCACGGGCTGTCGAGACGGCGACATGGAAACCGCACCGATTCCCCGTCAAGGATGTATCCAACTTGAATCCTTTGGACATGGGAGATTTCACGGGGATGGACTTGGCATCGATACGACAACAACATCCCGAATGGTACGAGCAGCTCAAACGAGATCCTTTCCACACAAGATTCCCTGGAGGGGAAAGCTATTCCGATCTCATTGATAGATGCCATTCCATCCTCATTGACGTCGAACAACAACTGGGTTTGACAGTGGTGATTAGTCATGTCAGTATCCTACAAGTGTTGGTGTCCTACTTTCGTTCCACGCCCATTCATGAATGCATGGACATTGAAATCCCCATGCATACCGCCATGAAGTTTGTGCCGCTGCGAGGAGGTGGATGGCACGAATCCCAACATGCGCTGTTGCCCGATGGCGACGTCTTGGAACAAACCACAAATACTGAAGGAGGGCCGCTAGGTGATGAACCCATCTGGGGCGACAGCAGGTCCTGCCTTCCACGTCGGTTATCATCCACCAACGACTTGAATAGTAGTGAATAAATAAATGTCATGTGTAACAAGTGATGCTAGTTTAAAAATACAAACATGTAGAGTGGTTTCTAAAGTGCTGGGCGTGGTGCAAGCAGCTCTCAAGGAGGAACGTCATCAACGGCGCAATCGGAGGGAAGAGGGACACTGGAATAGATGCTGCCATGTCTCGCGTAGACCTGCTCTGGCTCAGTTTCGTCAATGTCTAGGAGGCATGTGCCAGGAATGGCATCCAAGCAAATACAGTTGGAGCCAACCCATAAATCAATGCCAGCCACACCATTCATGTAAGTAAAGAAAATAGCAGCCGCGTCACCTCGGCAGGCCTCCTGGCAGCTCTGACTGGAGCCATCGAATTCCGATTGAGAAAGCCAGCGGAAACCAGGGGTGTCTTCCGCGGTGCTGTTGCTCTGGGAGGATCGGCTAATGAGGAATCCTTCGATGGCGCCGCTATAGCCAAACACTGAAGTTGGTGCAGGCGAGGGCATTGGTGCGGGTGTGGGCAATGAAGGCACAAAGAATACTGGAATGGGCGTCGGTGCGGGGGTGGGGAACCTGAAGCCAAAAGAAGCAAACAAGTCGTCACCCGAGTAGTAGTCGTCATCGCGGTTGAAGGAGTATGTTGGCGACGGCGCGAACGTGTTGCTGCGATTCGCGCTGGCCGCGAGTCTCGAGCCCAGGGCAATCAAGAGTACGAAGAGCACGGTACAACCGAGCACGGGTCTGAAAATTCTTCGATCCGAATTGTGCTCACGCTTTGGGGTGGTGTTTGTTGTGGGTCGAGGCCGGTTTCGCCTAGTTGCGGCGGGTGAAGGTCGGCTTGGAACTACTCTAGCATGAGCAGTTGGCAACGTGCTCGGTGGTGGCGATGAAATCATGACAGTTCCATTGGAGGGCACTGGCCCATTGGTGGTAATCATCGGGGGAACGGCCACTGCAGATGCCGTTGGGAGATTTCGTTGCGATTCGGTATTACGAAAGCTGGAAACGACCTGGACTCTTGCGAGCTCTACATCATAGCTATCTTGTTGTGTCATTTCAAGGGGATTGTTGTTGAAGTTCTTTGCTTTGGGAGTTGGTATTGTGAGAGCCCCGTTGGGCCCACAGAGGCGGAGACGATCCGAGGTGCTGGAGAATGGCGCGGGCTTGCATGTGTGATCGATCGATTCGATTCCCACAAGATCAACATGACTGAGGCAAGACTGGATCTCAATGGATTTGCCCACGAACAGCGACTGGGTTTGACTTGGTGGCGCTCAAGCAAGTTGTGGTGTGGGGTGTGGGCTAACACAAGGTAGGTTCAGAGCAGGGGAGTTATGGACTGAAGCAAATGAGGGGCCAAGTAATGTGGGACTCCATCATGCGCAATAAGGGGCAACAAATTGGAGACCACAAGGGGGCCAAAGTCTGGGGCATCCATGGAGACAGCCATGAATGAGTAACTTTATTAGAAACAAGAGCAATGGAGAGCGAGTTGGGTCTGGAAGGGAAACATCATTTGGGAGTAAGAATATTGAGTTTTGTTGCCATGGGCTATAGTAGCAGGAGGGCGAGCATGCTTGGCGTACACAGAAACAACAACAAAGGGATGTAAGGAGGAGGCAGGCGCCACGGGATTCGCACCCACGGGATACCTACCGGTAGTTTTGAGGGTTGGAGAAGCCGGAACGACAGAGGAACTAATGCATTCACCTACAATAGATCCAAGTTCGTTACAGATTTCATTATGGTGACGGATGCTTGGCTTGGCCAGCTGGCTTGCTAAAAATCAGGCAAACATCAAGTAAGGCAGAGGAGCAAAGGAAATGAAGGGATCCTCACATGGCTACTCTTTGGGGCTTTCACTCTTGCACTCCAGTTTCAACAGGACCAGAAACCTATTACTAGACCCGTATCTGAATTGCCCTTGTGAAAGCTACCCATTTATGTCTCGGTGGATCCCGCCAAGCCAAACCCTTTGCCCCCCGTAATGGTCCTCAGTTTCTTGCCCCTGATCCCAGCGAACCCAGTCCTGAATTTCAACTGTTCTTTGCTTAAGCCTGGCCCCAGCTGGCTTCGGTAGATAATTTCCCTACTCTAAACCCCTCTGAATACTAGGGCACTGAGCAGGAGATAGGAACACGTTTCTTGTGCTCTCTGCAGCCTCCGTGGATGCTTCCTTTGGTGGGCCGAGCTTGAACCAGCCAGCACCAAGACTAGCCAGACAAACGCCAAGCAAGTAGTACCAGGCAGTGGCGGACCGTCGCACTGGCACCTCTATTGTTGAGAATACCGTATGCTGCGGTACCAAAGATTTCTGGAATGCACGGGCATCACTTCCGACTACCGTAAGTAACGCTTGTGCTCACAGTGGACGGAACAAGTGAGGTGATCTAGAATTTGGATTACGACGAACCATGCGAAGCTGCAACAAAAGGAATCCTTAAATTGGTAGAAGCTTGGTCGCTTCGGAGGTAGGTAGGTGCTATATGGGAAGTCACTGTCTTTTATAATATTTCCTATTCTTTTTCCTTGTCTGCTCATCCTGCCTGTCTGAATAGAATACTCTAATATCCAGCCGCCGCCAGGACGTCATTGACCTTGGCCAATTCAGAGGCACATGCTGCTTCGGCCTTGCGTTTCAGGGCTGCCTGTTCCTTTTTCTTGGCCCAGTATTCCTTACCATCTTCCTTGCGCTTGGCTTCCAATCGTCCGAGCAACTCCTTGTGCTTCCATCCGACGGAATCTGCCAATTCCCCAATCACGGTGTGTTCACGGGTGGACTTGAGCCTCATGATGCGAAGGGCAGCGGGGACGACGACGGTCTTTTGCTTGTCGTAAGGTGCGGGGATTCCCTCGAATGTCGACAAACGATTGATGGCGTCTTGTCCACGAGCCGTCTTTTGATGGACCATACCACGAATGGTGCGCCACACAATACGGGCGGGACTCTTGTAGTGGAAGGGACCCTTGCGAGGGTTGGTGTTCATGGCCTTCCTGCGAAATTGAGCATACTTGGTGCGGTTTCGTGTCACTACATGTATTACAGTATGATAGAACAGAAGAAGCACTTGTCAGCATCGTCCATCTATAGCTAAGGCAACAGCATCATCTTCCTTCTTTTTTCTTTCTATTTCACTTACAAGATCCAGAAACACACATTAAATCACATCGTACAATGACAATCTTCTGTCCAGCCAGAAGCTCCTTGGCGACAATACTAGCGAGACGACCCAAAAGGTGGTCGCGACCGTCGATGACCTTGACTCCAGAGCACACCATGGTGAAACTTTTTGTTGTTGTTGTTGGCGTTGCTTGCTGCCAAGTCGGTTGTCGTTGCTGTCCCAAGCCAAGCAAATTGAAAGGGAGGCAGATTTAGTAAGTGGTAATCAATATCCTTGACCTTATCTATGCTTTACATCAACGTTACCGTTATCCTTAATTTGTGACTAAACATCTCGAACCTTCGGCTGACATCCTGAATGACGTCAGTGTCTCATCTTTTTGGATGTTTTGCGGTGACATTTACTTTCCTTTTGGTTGACCATGGCACATGATGCCTCGCAAGAACTGACTTGAAACTTTCTTTGGATCCATTGGTATGCATAGTAGAGAGGGTGTGATCCGCTTCATCCCTCCATCTTCATTAACAGCAACGGCAATGATGAGATCCATGAATCCGCGGAAAACTGGAAGAGTTCTTCTGCTTGGGTCAATAATTATTGGTTGGATTGACTGTGTTCGATCATTTTCCCACTCCGCCGTGATCAGACAAGGACGTTTTGGTGGTAGGATCCTTCCTAAAATCAGACAGAGTCGAGAGTATGATGATCAGCAGCGTGATACAGACGATCCATCGGCATGGATGAGCCGGCGAGATGCCGTCCTCAAGTCTTCCGCCGCCGCATTGGCATCTGCCAGTTGGTTCCTTCCGACCACCGGGTCTTCCGCCGCTACCACCGATAAGAATTCAATTCCCACATGGACGTTGCGAGGCGGAGTCAAGATGCCCGTGTTGGCGCTCAACACGGTGGGTCTCTCCGCAGAAGATACCACCCGCGCTGTGGGGTTTGCACTGTAAGTGAAAGAAAGTGGGGCAGACTGTATACCATCGAATTGAATTGCATTTCGGTGGTTCAAAGTCCAATGAACAAACCTGACCATGTGTACGTTACGTGTCATGAATGCATGCATGCATGCCCCGTGATTGATTGATGGATGGATTGATATTACTATTAGTAAAGAAGGAATCACCCATGTGGACTTTCATCCGGGTAAGGAACGCGATGGGGTGGCCCAGTATCTTGCCGAACATAGTGCTGCCAGATCAGAACTCTTTTTGAATACCAAAATTCGCAAACCTCCTCCGGGAACGTCCCCGGAAGACGCCGCCGAACGAGCACGTACTCAAATCGCCGAGGACTTGACTGCCCTCGGCTTGTCCAGTGTCGACATGCTCATGCTACGGGACAGTCCCGACGCGGCCGTGTTACAGGCCCAGTGGGCCGTCATGGAAGAAGCATTGGCGAATGGGCAAACGCGATCCGTGGGTGTCATCAACTATTGTCCATTTTCACTCAATGCCATTCTCGAAACGGCGCGCGTCAAACCGGCATTGAACTATCACCTGTTGCATGTCGGCATGGGGACGGATCCCAGAGGGTTGGTCCGTTTTTGCAATTCGCGGGGGATTCGGACGTTTGCCTACGGCGCCGTCGGGGAACCGGGGCCCAATGACGAACTGCTGAACTCGTCCACTCTACGGCGAATCGCCGAGAATCATCACGTTTCTCCAGAAGCAGCCGCACTTCGATGGGTCCTGCAAACTGGTATGTACTGTAGGAATGAATTCCATCAAATTTGGATGCGTCATGGCTATGGTACAGCCATGCCAGCAGGATACTCATGCTGTTTCGTCTCTTTTCTGTAGGAGCCGCGTGTAGCGTCCGGCCAACACTCAACTTTGGATTGGGCACGAGCCAGTGCACCGAGGAGAATGGATGTGATGCGGGACTTCAGGCTAGGGCTGCCAGCTTTTCCTGGAAGCTTTCCGCAAAGGAAATGGCAGAACTGAGTGCTTTGAAGAGCCCCAACGACAATCCGACCTTATTTTCTTCGGCTGGCTGTCCGGATGCCTTTGTCATGCCCAAGTAGAACCAACTGAAGTCCTCCTGATGTGAAGTTTGTGGCAACCAGCTAGCTATTCCCAACGTGCAGTCACGCGACTGGATCAATTTTTAGAAACTTAACAATTCATTCGCTTGCTTTTGACGTTTCAGTGCGGTGGCAAGTCTACATTCATTTTGTGCAGCAGAAGAGGTAGCATTCACGCGATGATACAGATTGCCAGCTGGCTATCCAGAATGTTTTGAAAGGAGCGGTTGTAACAGCAGAAGCGAAACCTTCGGTCACTCTTTCTGTGGCCTTTCTTATCTGGAGCACCAACGGTGGAAGTCTTGTCGCCTCTCCACGCCTTGCTCTTCTTCTCCCGTTGGGAACATCATGCGTACAACAGCGTATGGACAAGCTCAAAAGAAGATCCTCTCGTGTACTAGCAGCATGGTGAGAGGAGTCACATTGAGGAGTACTTTGTACAATGCTTTCCATCGTCTTGCAAAAGCAATCTTGCTCCAACTCGAACAACTGGCATATCTCCTTCCAGAGGTAACCTACTTGGGAGGAAGCACATGCTCCTTGCTTTTGAAACGCAAGAGTGAATGACTCACTTTGTATCCTGCAATCATCATTTGTATCAATAGCATCCACTCGGCGACCTACGTTTTCCTCGATAGTCCCATTCGCACAAAAGTTCAAAGATACACATTCCTTTTGGCTGACTGTGTCGGGCTAGAGATGCCGTGTGCATGCGCTTGATGATCCTTGGATACCGGTAGTCATAGTAGAGTCGGGCCTTCGCCACCGGTCTTCTGCCAGAGACAGCAATATCGTTGCGTCTCGCAGTATTCGCAGTTTCCAATGGTAAGAAGGACGCATGAGTGGCGAACCGTTGCAAACCCTTGATTGCTAGGTCAGACCTGATGAAAGCTCGTACTAGACAACACGTTGTCTTTTGGATAGCTTGGTTTTTAACTCGTCGGACAAGAATGATGAATGAATCGAATCTGTGTAACGATGTAGTGCCGGTACCAGGTACCATTGTCCACCTACCGGTGGCTTCTCACTGCATTGAAGAGACGAAATTATCTGGTGTAGACACACAATGAAAGCATGGGTTGCGGGTTGCACATTGCATTTCGTGTAACGCTTTCGTTGCGATTGGCGAAATAATGTTACTGTACGAGGTATCAGACGTACGATCGAAGCTGAATACATAGGCTAATTGAACAAAGATTGTGTTGCATGCTGGATCCGTTTATTTGTGATTACTATGTGTGTGTGTGTGTGTGTAGGTGTGTGTACGTGAGTGCTGTGTGAGATGTGTGATGTTGTGTGAGATATGTGTAGTGTAGAATGATGTTTGAAGTTGTTCTTTTGCTGGTGCTTTCTTCCGGGCCGGCAAGAATGAAAAGAAGAAGAAGATGCGCTGCCATGTTCTTCTTGTCGCAACAATGAAACCGCCTACTTCGTCGACTTGTCATTGAGTCGGTCGTACAAAGAACGGGGAGGCTTGGTTGGTAGTTGGGTAGACTTCTCGCGTCGGTCGTAACATGAACGAACGCCTGGACGAGGCTGGGTCGACGTCGACTTGTTGTGGAGTCGGTCTTGCAACGGACGGAAGCCTTGACGAGGCTGGGTGCGGTCGCCCGACTTGAATCCATAAGGACGACCAGCAGGAGCATAAGCAAACTTTGATGCAAGGGAACCTTTCTCTTCCATCTTTTTCTTGTACTCTTCGAATGGAGTGGATCGCTCCGCATAGCCAATATGGCATTCGTGGCCTTCCACCTGCAGCGTTCCATGGTTGCTGTAGTGAGCAATAATCTTGGCAGCCACTTGGGAACTGGACATCTTGAAGATGATCTGGCGAAAACCACGAAAGACCATGCAGCGTCCTTGGATGGGTCCAAACTTTTGGAGTTCCTCGAAAGCGACCTTCATAAACGTCTTTTTGTTGTCTTGGGTGATGGCTGATTTCCACTGCTTCGTTTCAGCGTCTTGGACGTCGGGAATGGAGATGATGACTGTGTCATTGTCGTTGCCGAGAGATTGAGGCTTTTCATTGGGGCTGTCCGCAGCTGGAGGCTTGTCGTTGGCGTTGGCCTTGTCGAGAGACGAAGGCATGTCGTTGGCGTCGGGCACAGCTGGAGGCGTTACCGGTTGGTTCTCCTTGTCTACATCTTGGGGTGGCGCTGGCACTTTCTTCACGTATTTTTTCTCTTTTCGTTTGGTTTCCTTGGATTCCAGCAGGAGGAGAACTCTCTTGGGAGTGACCTTGACGACCTTCCCAATCTCTCCAAGAGCTGCAGTGCCTCCAGTGCACTTGACCCAATCGCCGACCGTGATAGTTTCTGCTTTGGTTTTCGTCATCTCGAATGCTTGAATGATTGTAGAGTAGGTGGAAGAAGGATGATACTGGTGGAAGAGGGATGAGAGAGGAAGTGGAAGAAGGATGACGGTGTTGAAGGACGAGAGCGTTGGTCGAAGATAGAACAACAGCCCCAACGACTCGACTCAAATTGAGGAGGAAAGTGTTGCGGTTTCACCCCGCCCGACTTGATTGAACTTTCGTCACACAAAAAAGAACTTGGCCTCAGTTGTTAAATCCTTGTATACCTTGAGTTCCGTCTAAGTATTCTAAATACTAGAAGGCCAACCCCATTGACGGCAATGTTAATTATAAGCACGTCTAAAAGACATAACTAATAACCAATACCCGTACATGAAGAGTTCTCCATTTTAAAATACGTACTCAGTAATAGTTTTGCACTCACATTTTCAAGCGATTTACATGGTCGAGTCATTGAGATTCGCTACTATTAATAATACAGTACTAGCTAGTAGCTAGTAGAACGGTACGGTACAGTACTAAGCCATCTGCGCCACTTACGCTGACCGGTTAGCAACTCGAAGCTTCACGGAGAGCTCATCAAAGATGATCCAAGGCTTCTATGCATAGTCAACAACACTGAAGCCTCCATATAGTCAGCCGGTACATCACCTTGGATTTTGGAAGCTTCCCAGTGGCTGAAGGCGTTTCAGGAAGACTAAAGAAAGTATAGCTTTAAAGAAAGTTGGTTCTTTTGTATAAGTGAGTATGCTAAGAAGTTGCGGACGGGGAAGGTACCGTTGCCTGTCTTCAAAGCATCAGGAGCGGCCGACCTGGACAACGAGCAATCGAGATCAAGGCGACAATGGCACCAAGTTTATCATGATACTCGCTCGTTTTTGAAGTTCGGAAGAACCTCGCAGTTTGACATCCATCGAGACATTGTCGAAAACGATTATGGTGCGCTGGAAGCAGAAGCAAGACTCGGATGCAAGAACTGATTTGTTGGAGAAAAAGAATTTGTTTGCATCATTTGGTAAAGGACGCAGCAGAGTTCTAGAACTCAGTGTTCTCTATTTTTGCGCCGCACTGCCCCTCACGTTCCCTCTGATCCTCCCGAAAGCCTGAAAGGCTCCAAGGCCGTGACCGTTTCCATGGCATGGAAGTTGTTCCCTCGAATCCGCGACAGCACGAATTTTGCTGCCACAAAACTTCTCACGTTTTGAGTCGAGTTGAGTCGAGTCTGCCGATCAATTGGCAAACAAAAAAGAGACAACGCTACCGTTGACCAGCCCTTAAGAAGCAATCTGTATGGTCTTGTCAGGTTGGGAGTGCATTCCGGCGTCGCGAACGGCTGATACCCTTGAGGAAGATGACCCCCCCCCCCAATTCATGGCAAAGGGCCGCGACAGCGCAGGCATGCACCGTAAAGGTACAACCAACAGCTAGCTAGTACTACCAACTGAATTGAACTGAATTGTTCTGTGCTAGCTAGCTGTCGGTGGGGTATTGCACCATTGACTGTTTGGCTTGTTAGTATGATGGTTGGCCCCTTGCTCCTGGCTCCATTGCATGAATAGCATGCATAGAATACTTATTTATTTATTTACGGAACCTGGTCAGAATGCAATTTATCCTACTAGTACTAGCTAGCTAGTCATATTCGACTGGTAACACCCCCACACCCATCGGAAACACACCAACCCCCTACTGGTAACAGTGATCGGATCTCGGGTAACTGACACCCAACTGCCGCCAACTCCCTGGGAGAAACCTGGAATGCTGGGGATTCCCTGTACGATCCTACACTCCCGGTACTGGCAGAAAGTGCATAAGTAAGGAAATAAATTTAGCTCTAGACAGCATTTTGAATCGGCCTAAGTACCCAAGTCACATAGGCAACAGGTCTCCCGCCAATAAACAGATCCATGCATTATGGCGCCCCACATCTTTCTCATGATGTACAGAAGTCGAAGCTTCCTTCTAAGAAAAAAAAAGAGGGATGTTGCTTCCTTCTAAGAGATGACAGTCGATATTTAGTTCTGTCTCTTTTCAGTACCATGGCCACCATTATCAAAGGCAGCAATCGTCCTTTGGGTGATGAGGAACTGAGAGGTGATGATCTGCCATACCAGACAGAGGGAATCAACCCAGAAGACGAGCCCAGAGTGTTTTTCCATAATCCAAACAATCGAAGAAACATCACTACCCTACAGAGAGGCATTGGGTTATTAGAAGAAGATAGATTCAACAACATGGAGGCGCCGCGTGGCTCCACCGGGAGGTTCCACTCAGCTACTACTGCTGCTGTCAACAACACCAGGCGAAAGAAGCAAACCAAGCAAACACCTCGACGAAACCCGAGAAGAGTCCTAGCACAAAACCCCAGAAACAGCTTCGCCAACCGTGTTGACACATCCACATCCCCAATCTCTGAGGCTTCACTTTCCAGTCCCAGTTCTATCCAAAGCAGGGCTAGCAGCAGGGCAAGTAGTCTTGGTCTTTCTCTTTCCATTGACTTAGACGACCATGACGAGTCACTCCTGGATGGGCCAGATGATCTGGATGGTGGTGGATATGTCCACACTGAAACCCAGAGGGCATCGGTGAGCCTCAGGACTGCAGAGTTGGAGGCAGATGGTGGATATGTCCACACTGAAACCCAGAGGGCATCGGTGCGCCACAGGACTGCAGAGTTGGAGGCAGATGGCAGGAAAGATGGCACCAAAAAACTCTACAATGGCTATGTTGCAGAGTTCCACGCGTGGTGCAAAGCAGGCCCTGGCGAGATAGTTAAGGGCCTTAAGACCAAACCCACAAAAGTTGTCTTTGACACAATGCCCACCGCCAACACAGCATTGGAATTTGTGGAGGATCATTTCATTCTTCGCCCGCAGTGGGATGGAAAGAATGGATATACCAAGGAGGCCCCTCACAGCAAATGGTCATTTGAGAATATACTCAAAGGGCTCAGAGCTGACTACAAGATTCAAAAGGCAAAGTATTGCAAGGAACATGGTGAGGCGGCATTCCTTGACAGATACGGCAACGCAGGACCTAACGACCACGGGGATATCAAGGCAGTGGCCAGGAAATACCTCAGGGAGCAAATTGCCAATCGGAATTTCCTACACCTTCCTAGAGGAGCGGCAGCATTATCTCAACAGGGCTATTCGAAGGAACAAGGCAGACAGATGGAACAGTTTGGTCTATTTGACGACAGTGTCCACACCAAGGTATTTAGTGACAGCTTAGCACACAGGAAGTCTGGCTTATCCTACAATGATGCGTTGAAGGTCAGAGCACAGCATCTTTACGGTGAGGGCAGACTTTTCAGAAGTGATGACAGGCAAGTTGTACTTCTGTCCGACCATTGTCTCATGGATCCACCAACACACATGAGTGGTGCTGGGAAAGCAATTGCAGTTGTCATGATGGAAGGCAAAACAGTGACAGCTGGGAACAACAGGGTGTCAGCTCAGATGCGGCACAAAGACGATCCAAGTCGATGTGGATTCAACGCTTTCACAACTGAGCTGTTTAGGCAGCAACACTTGGATCCACATGGACAGCTCCACATGGAGGACTTCATCCCGGTGATGCAAGACAATGGCAATTATCATCATCCATGGTATGACAGGAGATTCTTCTACGGAAACACAAAAGCCACTAAAGGGCAGGCCTGTCACTCCGCAACAAACAAACCCTTCAGTTACAAGAACGCAAACAGTCTGTTCCACGCCGCCTACGAGCGAGTTGAACCACCCATCATTTCGTGGCACGTGCTCCATTTGCAGAGAGGCACCGGTGCCAGAAAGGCGGAACAGGCTGGTGCAGAATCTTTCCACATCGGATCGCATGGGGGCTGGAGGCACCGGGGAGCTCTGTTCAATCACTATCTCACTCACGTGCCTTTCAAGTTTGTGTCATGGCTTGCAGGATACCAGTTCACACCCGATTCCATACCGGACAGAGATGCCTGGTTTGTGGCAAGGGATTTGGTCCAGCCTCCACAGAAAGTTGTGGATGACGTGTTCCCCTTTGTGAAGGAGGTCCGACAGCATCAGGCAGAGAACCCAGAGTTCTGGAAGGACGTTCAAAAGCATGACAACACCCTCGAGAAGTTCCTCCAACTTCTAGAGGTGGGTGCCAAGTATTTTGTGCAGGATATGGCAGTCATGTACCCCAAGATGAAGAACCATCCGTTCTTTTGCACACAGCCATTCCTCCATGCTGAGTTCCATCCCTTCCGGGAAGAACTATTGCAGAAAATGGAAGAGCAAGACCAGAAGATGAAGAAGCAGAAGAAGGAAGCCGCATCTTCGTGGACTGGGGCACAGGGCATGTCCTATCTCAAGCAAATCCTAAAGATCTTGAAGCCCCAAGTCTATGCGGTGGACTACACAGAAGAAGAGAAGGAATTCATCTTGGAAGAGATGGATGACATGGGCCCCCCAGTGGAGGACGCAGACACAGAGTTGGCGGAAGATCTCATGGCCGCCGAAGGTGAAGTTGATTGGGTAGAAGAGAACAAGAGAGACAAGACAGATACAAGAGCCGTGCAACAAACCTCACCCATGGCGATTGCACAAGGCCCACCCCGGAGACACACTCCAGTCGACCTGAAGGATCCAGGAACTTGGCCAAACGACGGAACACCAGACTGGGCAGGGGCTGTGGAGTTCACGGCAGATCTACCTCTGACCATTGAGGCTTTGGTGAGGGAGTATACAGAGGACTCCCAGGAAAGCCAGCATGAAGCACCTGGAAGCTCATTACGTGCCGATGTCCCGAATGTTAAAAAGAGAAGAAAGAATTGGCATAGCTGGAGGAATTCTGCAGCAAAACGGGCTGGATGGTGCAAAAGGAAGCCACTCTACCATCATGTGGATACTTTCTTTGCCACCACTGATGATAATGATGCTGATCGTACCGCCCTACCCAACACTGACACCGCCCTATTACCAAATGCTGTGCCCGAAATGAATGAGTTTCTGAATGCATTTGGCGGCCAGGAGGACCAGGACCAAGAGGATGGCAGGCAGATGCAGGAGGAGGACAAACATGAGGAGGCTACGATGGAAGCCATCCGGGCTCTGACCAACCTTATCGAAGAGAAATTTAGTGGTAGGATCCCCCAAGGCAAATCTGCAGCACAGCCAGGAAGCAAAGTTATGAAAGCGCTATTCGACCATTTCAAGGCACTCGTACCAGGTGCCAAAGGGAGGATTGAAAAAGGGCACAAAAGGGCAGCCAAACGTAAGGAAAACAAGGCCAACAAGAAGAAGAAGCAGGTGGAGGAGCAGGCAATGAGACCTGAAGATGAGACCTGAAGAGACCTAGCATTTGATGTGCACGATGGCTCTGAAACGATGATGTGGATGTGGATCCAACTAGTTATATATTTAGTTAATAAACTTAAGCTTATTCAGTCGTGACACCAAAGGATACATGAAAGGATACATGGATGGATGAGAGATAGAGGTACAAAGACGACGGACAGATTAGTCACTGTCCGTGTTAGCGTCAAATGGAGATACCTTAGGGGTGGTAGGGGTGGCAGGGATGACAGTAGGCTCAGGGTTATGGTCAGTAGGCTCAGGGCCTAATGGAGAATTTGCTGCTGCTGCACGAATCACGGTAGGAGTTGGGGTGGTAGGAGTTGGGGTGGTAGGGGTAGTACTACGGATAGTAGGGATGACAGTAGGCTCAGAAAGGGCCGCAGGCTCAGCAAGAGAAAGGCCAGCAAGGGTAAGGTCGAGGTCAGTCCCTGAACTCCCCCCTGTGTCAACCGCCTCGCTACCCTTAACATCATCATCAAAGCACTCAATGATTGTGCCATCATTCACGATGTAGTGCCGCCGGATCCTGCCAATGACAAACCAAATGATTTCAGCGCTGTATTCAGAGTGGAACTGGGAACACATAGCCGCCAAAACCAAATTGACCTTGGCATTTATGGCGTGTTCCTCCACAGTCGTTGGGTGGTCATTCAGAGTTCTGATATCCTGGGTTAGCAACTGGGCCATGCACCCAAATGTGCAGTTCATCGACTTGTAGTGCTGGATTGCCACCCACTCTCTTAGGGAGTTCTCATGCAATACACGGCTCTTAGCCTTATTCGCGACTCGATCCTAGATAGGGTCTGAGTTCGACTCATGACTGAGTCTCTCGTGAATAGTCAATTGAGACAGGGTTCTCAATGACCGCTCTAGTCATACTAGGTTGATGATGAAACATCGCTCTAGATATTTAGCCAGCGTGGAGTACTTCCACGCTACTAGATAAATGCTAGACGAATCTTCCACGCGTTCCGTTTTTGGATCGTGGAGTGAGTAGGATTGCTACCGCAACTACTCTATCTCACTCTACAGTCTCCCGCGGGAGTTCAGATCTACGATCCTTTGATTGTGGATCTCTCTCGTTGATTAGTTTTCATAGCTTTCTAATCCTCTCATAACTTTCATTCTCTCAAACTCAAAACACTCGAAAGATCTTTACACTAGCTTTTAGCGTAGTGCATTTTGTTAACAAACACAATAGCTTTCAGCTACTGCATGGCATGGAACCTTGGGGATTGTTTTGGGACAATATCACAGTCACAGTAAATTTGTAGCTGTCCACACCCTGTTGACTCTGGTTCTCCTTTTCCTTCCTCTCCATCCGAGAGAATCTCTATAGGTTGTTGACGTCTACCATGTTGCATCATCTGCATCTGTTGCTTGTGAGACTTCTGCGGGATCTGGATCTGCTGTGAAATGGCAGTTTCTGGGATCTGTGACACCACAACAGAAAAATGGGGGACATTGCTACAGTGTCGTGTTGTGTGTAAGTAGGTTGGTTGGACCTTTGGCTAGTCCCGGCATCTCACTTTGTTAGACACTTTGTTAGACAGCTGGTAGATCCCGGATCCGCTTGGAACTGTTTCTACCCACACTCATGCCCTTGGGTTTCTGTTTCCACCCTGTCCTCTAATCGCTGTGGTCTGTTTCCACCCACACCCTTGACCCATTCTCAAGGGTGTGGGTGGTAACAGAGTTTATTCACTGTGCCAATTTCAGTACCAGCCACAGTACCACAGCCCCTACTCCCACGCAGCTGAGTCATGTAAAGGGAACTGAATCAGGCTGAAAACAACGTGCCGACTCTATTTGGGCAACGGTGCCTGTTACCCACAGTTTGATACCTATTACCAGTACCCCCATAACTTTCCTAGTTAGAGTCAGCCCCCCTTTTTGCAGTCTTTCGTACCACGATCGTCGCAGCGGGCGATTTGATTCATCATTCCGCATGCGGTTCTTCCGAAAGGAGATGGGATCATGAAAGTCGTGCGGTAGCTTTCTTTCAACTCAGAGGAACCACAACTAACTGCTGTACTTTACAAAGCAGCCTCGTGGACGAGGGAAGGAGTGGTCCAGTCTCCGTGCATAGCCTCGGAGAGCCGCACATTCAAGCATTGTACCGCCCTGTAGCTGCAATGCGCTCGAGGGCTCTTGGGTATCAAGTAATTTTGTCATTCATGTACGGTATATACGCATGCATAAGCATAATATGAATAATTTGGCTTGCGCAGGAAGGACCAGATCCTCCTACTACCGTAGCTAGCTACTAGCTAGTAGATAGCTTTTTGTAGTCTAGCTAGCCGCATGGTTGTAATACGGTAGCTTTCGCTTTCTCGGAGGGGTTGATGGGCTGGAATGCATGGTGGGGGTTGGAACGGGCGGCTTCATCGAGCCGTCGATTGATTATTAGCCTGCAAAGCTATCCTGTTGATGCTCACGTTGAACAATCTTTGGATCTTTGGATCTTTCTTTTGGAGGAAGATTCATAGACTCGACTCGACTCGACTCGACTCGACTCGACGCGCCACAAAAGCACAACCACAAAGCTATTTAGTATTTATTTATACCACAAAGCGGTCTTCCTTCCGAGTGCAACACATGACGATGACGATGATGATGAAGTGTGTGCGACAGCTGTCTGAGATATTGGCGTCGGAAGAGGCTTCTACTATTAATACTAGTAGCACGTGTAAGGCTTCGTTGGAAGAGTGGAACGCAGAGTTGGAAAAGGTGCTTTTTGCGGATCCTGATGAAGCCAAAGTCACAGCAGGAGACAAAGAGAACTCTGAGGAGATAGAAGTATCAGCAGACGAAGCCAAAGCCGAGATTGATGACGTGACGCGGAAACTGCGAGATGCCTTTGTCCTCGCCTTGGCCAAGTCTCTTGGTACTGAAAGTACTGAGAAGACGGTCTGTGACCACTTAGCCTTGATCAGTACTAGTACTGAGAAAGACGACAATACTAGTGCAGACATTAGTATTGTCATTGTGGATGTCACTAGTTGGGCCTGGCTGGAATGTGTGGTTCGAACGAGCAGTGTGTTTCTGAGGTGGTATCTCCAACGGTTTCTACAAAAGTACCCGTTGGTCTATCCCATGTCGAGTGCTCCCTTCCAGTCCTTGTCCATGCTCACCATGATTCTGTTCTTGATTGAACACAATGCAAATAATATCGAGGAAGATCATGACGACAATAGCCACGGACAGAGATTTGCCCGGCATGCGTCTCTTCTGTTGTTTTACGCTACCTTTAGTCCTCGTTCTCCCAATGATGAAGACATGCAGAAAACACATCAGCGCCTTGTCGACGACCTACGATTCATTCCTCGCGCTCTTTCCCTATTAACGTATCCCACACAAACATCGGCACCCCTCACGTTGTCACTCATTCGCAATGTCCACAATCTACTCGCGTCGTTTGAGGGAACCATCAAGGTGGTCCAACAGACGGGATTTCCGTACGACAGCAACACCGCCCAGGCACCCTGGAATCCCAAACCCGACGAGAATACCAATGGACTCATTACGTATCCCTCTATTTTTCGAGATGTCCTCATTTGGGCGCTCAATGCGCCGCATTTGCCGCCGTTTCCAGGTTCCACACAAGATAAACGTCCCGAATTGGTCGTGGAAATATTGGGCATTATTTTTGCCATGGGAGGAACCGAAGTCTCACGAGCACTCCGCTATCCGTGTCCCAATGCCGCATTGTCACAATTGGTCGTGACATCCCTGAAATCATTGTCATCGGACGACGACAAACGAGTTTATCAAGTCAAACTATCGACCATTACTATTTTGACGGATGCCAGTCCATCGTTTGGAACGTTTTTGGTCGAACAAGGAGCATTACCAGCATTGCTCGAAATTGCCCAACGACAAATGGATACCGTCATTGATAATATACAAGTCAATGACAAGGCCGTCTCGGCATTGGTACCCAGTTTGGCGGTATTGTACAAATTCTCGGCTGGTAATCCGACGTTTCGGGATGCCACCAAAGAACTCGTCTTTCCACCCGCTCAAGAAGAAGAGTTTTGGAAACTGGCCAAGGAACAACTACTACTCAATAATCAACATCAAGATGCGGCGACGGATGATAATAACGACAACAATAACAATAACAATAAACAAGTACCAGCCAAGAATAATAATATGCAACCGTTGGATGCACCGCGTGGCACGTTGCGATGGAAATTGATTCATCTCATGACATGGACCGAATCGCATATCAAACGATATGCCAGTGAATTGTTGTGGGCACTCTGCGAGGAAAATCCAAAAGAATTTGTTCTACGAACTGGAATGGGCAATGCCATTGGCTTTTTAGGGGCCAAGGGAATGGTACAGATTCCTAATAATAATTAGATTAATTAATTAATTAACTATAATAAAATAACTAACTAACTAGCTATTAATAACTAACTAACTAACTAAGTAAATACTAGCTATTATTAGCTAGGACACAAGAGTAGCTACCGGTATAGGGATATTGTGTTTAGTTGGTGGACAATATAGATAGATCCTGAATGTCGCCTGTTCTGTTTCCTGAGCCTGGCCCCGTACGGTAGCAGCGTTTCCGTCCATCTTTTACTCTACTCTGTTCTACTCTAAACCACCCTCAAAGACAGATTCGATTCTGCAATCATTGGAGCGTCTGGAGCTGCTACCGGGCTAGAGTAGAGTACGGTAGCTAATGTAGTATCTAAATAGAAGGTGATACCCTCCATCTGTCACCTGCCAGAATCGAATCTTTTGGGCTGCATATCTAAATAGAAGGTGAAGCATGAGACAATCCCAATCGTGATTTTGCCACACGTCTGAGCCCGTGCCTAAGCTGCAGCGTTGGGTTGGATGCAAGCTTCGCAGTAGATCTACACTTCCGCGTGAGATTTTGGTAATCTTTTTGGATCCGGACCCTGGACCGCGCTTTTTGAGCCATCATCCGTGTCAATCGAGAACAGTGCACGATAAAGGACCTCATTTTCCATTCATTTGATACCCTCTCTTATCACACAGACAAAGAAACCACCACCAAAATGAGCCAAGACGACGATTCCTTCTCCGAGGTTGGCTTTGACGACACCGAACCTGAGCAGCAGCAAGCAGAAGATCATGAAAGGAAACAGCATCCTGTGATTGTTGAAGTTCAGCTGCCGCCTCATTTTTCTGCCGGTTCCAACAAAAGGGTATCGGCCGTTGCCTCTTTGACGACCGAGAAGTCTGAGGAGTCGTCCTTTATCCCCGTCACTATCTTTGGAAAGATGAAGGTCAACTCGTCTTCGGAAGCCAAAGAGGCACCGTCCAATGCTACTCCCGCTGCAGCAGAGAGCAAAGAATCACCCAAGAACGAGACGTGTTTCGAGGAAAGGAAGGTGGCAGATGACGACAGTGAGGTGACTGGTTGGTCTGCTGTCAGCCTTCACCCTCCAGGCTTGGTTGGCAGCAGCAATGATGACGAGAGCGTTGCGGCCAGTTCCACCATTAGTGGCTTTGATCTGATCTCTCTCAACGGCACCAGCAAGAAAAAGTGCAAAACCTGCTCCTTCTTGAATGGATCAACCATTACGATTTGCGAGGGGTGCAGCTTGGCATTGGTGGCCAATCCTTGTCTGACATTTGACGAAAAGTTGGCTCGACAGCTGCAGCACAACGAAGAGCAAGAAGCTTATCAGGCGCTTTTACAAGAGGAAAAGAAACGCAAGAACCTCAACCAGCAGCCAATCTTAGTCCGGGCACGGACACTGGCAGATGACATTATATCTGCCCTCAACCGATGTCTTTCTTCCAAGCAACGGGAGGATGTCGCCTTTTCCGCCCTGCCTCATGCCAGCCTCACCATCTTGGCTTCTCGCTTTATAGAATGCGTGGATCAATTTCTTGTACCGGACCATCATCAGAGCATTGGCTCGGAATTGCCCATCAAGCTCTGCTATTGCTTCACCGAAAAGGCTTCATGGAGAATGACACAGATCCGCCAGGACGGATTCGGTTCAAATGCTGCCTTTGGATCAACTCCCGAGGCTGCATGCAAAGCCTTCAAAGCCCACCCTAGATTGCCCGGGCTCCCCTCCATTCCCGAGAACTGCACCAGCAATCTATGGAACCGAAACGTCGTCCCATCCGAGACCCATGGCTGGATTGCTGTCATTGTCAGCGGCCAGAACTTTTCCGCGGTCGATGGTGGTATCGCGGAGATATTTCGTCGTCCAAGCAGCGCCCAGTCGCTTCCCTTGGCGACCTTTGACGCGACTCTGATGCATGATGACACTATTCGTGTTCTCATGAACAACCTCAACATGGCTTGCCATGACTTTTTTGGTCATGATCCTGCTGTGGTTCAGATCGAGGATTCTGCCCAAAAGAGGCGAAAGGGGAACGAAGACAGTACCGACAGCGACGAGAAACTCGCAATGGAACTACAGGGCGTGTTGTACGATGATTGCACTGGAGGAGGCTCCGATGCAACCGGCGGTGGCAGTGCCGCTGCGAACGAAGCTGACTTCCCATCGTTCCTGACGGACCTTCCAGCTGAGAAGAACATGACAGAGGTCACCGAGCCCCTGGATCTCGGGTTTCTGCTGCAGGCACCCATCCTAGAATGTCCGGATCGAAACGCTCGTGCTCCCGCCCGAACAAAACCAGCCAAATATGAGACTGGCAAACCAAAATCAGATCAGTCGGCTGCCCAGGTCTCCCTTTGCCGCTATCAATCCTCCTTCAAGGCACAAAAGACAACCGAGAAGAAATTAGGCGTTGTCGAGGACATCATTGCCAACATCACAGAGGTACCCCCACCTAATACGAATCGACAAGGGCTTCGAAGGTTCTTTTTTCGAGTCCGAAATGTTAGCCGATGTTTCCAGAGCTGTTATGGTGGCGACGCAGACGCCTTCTGCAAGGCCAACCCCAGGTTTGATGTTGGTCGGTACATGTGCCCTCACGGGCAAAGCCACCGCTTCACAGAGCGCAAGGAGGTGTCTGTGCCCAGGCCGGAATCGACTGCTGACAAGGTGGCGGCAAGTGCGAAAGAAACCAACAAACAAGACCCCGAAGAAACTGTCTCGGGTCTGGATGGGCTTGTGCGGGTGGGCACTATCGCGGACGACAGCCGGGAACGCAACCTTGAAGCAGCCGCGTCGATGATGTCGGGACCGTCTACAGACGAAGACCGCAACGCGTTTGGGCGTTTCCACGACGTCGATGAGGCACTCCCTTCGTTCAGCCTCAATCCAGGAGGGGAACGCAAAGCCGCCGGATCAGGAGACGAGAACAGCAGTGCTGGCAGTGACCAAGAACCGTACCAGTACCACTAAACAAAGCCGTAGCAGCGCTTGTCAGTTTGGGAGCGATTGTAGCGCTCAAAGCCGCAGCAACGCTTGCGCGTTCGAGATGCATTGTAGCGCACACAATTTCCAAAACAACTATTACACATACCAAATGCCCATGAATTGCCAAACAACCAACACAACGAAAGCACAATATACATTTCGGGAGATCTAACTTCCTACATACAAATTTAAGCCTCTAGAAAAACTGACAACCCTCCCACTTGCTGGGCCCTCGCTGGGGTCTTTGTTTTTGTTCCTTCAGATCCATCGTTCACACTGCGCTCTTGCGGAGTTGTTGGGCTTCTCGGCGGGACAATCTTGCCCGGCAGATCTTGAAGCGCTTCCATTTCTTTCATTGCAGATCTGTCACTTCTTTCACCGGACCCCCACGAGGAACAATGACATTCGCGCAATGCAGACAATGCTACCGTAGAGGTCCGGTACAGTATAGCCAAGGTACGAGCCAGTTTCAATGACTCGACCATGTAAATCGCTTGAAAATGTGAGAGCAATCGGTTGACGGAACCTGAGGGCTATTATGATGGGATTTAAGCTCTCAATGGTACGAAAGCCGTCGCTTTAAGGCTTTCGTACAAGGAACTATTTTAATAAAATTATTTAAAATAGCATTTCAAGGATTTAATCACGTCAACCCAACTTCAACTTACACCAAGATCTTTTTGGGGCCGACAATCGATCAGCAGAGGCCATGTGGCTTGTTACTGTTTGTTTTGATCCACCTCTCTTCGATTACATGTAGTGATCAAGACTGCTCTCTGCAATACGAGGTCGATTGGCTTGGAGGTATCTATATATTGCTAAACAATGATGAACGCAGTGCTCTTGGCGGTCTCCAAAGGAAACATCACAGCCCATTGGGCCTACCTGGGCTGTCAAAGTGTCGGCCCATGTGCGAACGTGTGGAGGATGTTGCGTTGTCGTGAGTGGGTAATGCACTGGTCGTTGTCACCACCGAAGTAATTGATCGCTTCAAGGACGAGACAGCAAATATTGGAAATCTTGACATGGACATAAATTAATGTATATATTGATTGAGAAGCAAGAGAATTCAACTAAGCGCCAAGTCGATCCACACTCCGCGCTAAAGAGAGCCAGCAGTGGAACAGTTACAGTTGCAACCACACAAAGACTCGGTACAATCAAACTTGGCTTCAATGGTACCATTCAACCAGCAGAGTTCAGAGGGAACAAGACCACTCAACCTTGGATTGCCTGAGATTTCAAATTGCACAAGACCGGTGCTGAGGAGCTCCAATTCTTCTGGGACAGCACCACTGAAATCATTGTTGCTCAGAGAAAAGTACTGAAGATAGGGGAAACGTCCAAGTTCTGAAGGGATCAGCCCTTCCAACAAATTATCATTCAGCCAAAATGTCCGCATTCCAAATTGACCAATATTGCCAATCTCCGAAGGACAAGTCCCTGTGAGCTTGTTCTTGTCCATTGTGAGCTCCCAAAGGTTTCGAAGCAACCCAAGTTCACTTGGAATGGTTCCTATATGTTCACGAAATCAAAAAGACAAGGAAGCGTGAGTCAAAACAGGGAGAAGCGGTGCCAAGCTCTGTGTAGTTCCCAAAAGTTGATCAAACTTACCAACCAACTGATTCTCACCAATCACCATGTAACCCAGGGTGGGTGAAAGGAGACCAAGCTCTGTCGGGAGTGTCCCAGTCAGCTGATTCCTAGCCATTCCAATGAATTGAATGGAACTCAACAAGCCCAGTTGACTTGGTATCGTCCCTGGGTGGGTGGAGCAGGAGGAAAGTGATGTATGAGAGGCCGCTGTCATCATGCATGAATCCATGGTGATGGCTGGGACAAGCGTACGTCTTCTGCACTTACCTGACAACTCCCCCGCCGCATAAAGATTCAAATCAGTCAAGGCAGTCAAGAGACCTATCTCAGAAGGGATGCGGCCAGTTAGGAAACCTGCATTGTAGAACTGGAAATCTACCATGTCTGACAGCAAACCAATCTGCGTAGGAAGAGAACCAGAAAGACTGTTTTCATCGTCCACCCAGAAATACTCTAGTTTCAACAATCTGCCAATCTCACTGGGGATGGTCCCACTCAATCCACTGCGGGAAGCCAAGAAGACCTTCAAACTGGAACAGAGTCCAATCTCGGTTGGAATATGACTACCACGGAGGTCGATCCCACCGAAATTCAGAGCTTCCAAATTGGTTAGTTGACCAATTGCAGGTGGTATGGATGCCTTGAAATTGTCAATTTTAAACGAGAGCGACTTGAGGGACGTCAACAACCAGAGCTCCTCTGGGACTTGCCCTTCGAGTCCATTTTGATTGAGCCAAAGGTGCTGAAACTTGCCCTCGTCATCGCCATCATTCTGACTGGAAGACAAGTTTGCCGGGGAAACGCCGCAAGTTCCACCACTAATATCAGGGGCCTCGTAAGCAAATTCACCAGAATAATCTCGGATGATGCCCCCTGACCTCTCAGCTGTCGAATACCAGAAGCACTCGTCTTCGTTGGAAAGCCACAAAGAATTGTTGAGCCATGCTTGTCCATTGGTGGAATAGTAGAATGTCGCTAGAACGAATCTTTGAAGCTGTTTCCACTGGGCAACATCATTTTCCACCTGCGTGGAAAAATCGTCCAGCAACCAGTTGAATGCCATGGCTTGTGGGGATGCAGGGTCCTCCTTGATGGCCTTGATTGTGCTCATTGGTAGCATGTTCTGCATAAAAGATTCCTCCCAAGAGAGGGATGGTGACAGGGTGGCAGTAGCAGAATCATTTTGCTTGGGAGCCGCAGTACCGGTAGAAACTGCTGGAGCAGCTTCATCATCCTTGGAACCAACCAGCATCCCGAGCAAGAAGCCAACAAGGAGACAGGTGATCGCAACAAGGGAGTACCTAGCTAGAGCCTCTCTGCTTTTCTTCATGGACTTTTTTTGCGCAGCTTCTTCTGCAGCTTCATCAACTTGCTGAGCTTGTGGTAAGTCGGGGTTCTCTTCCACTGGGCGCGCCTCTGCAAGACCATCGTTATCGTTGATCGCAGGGGCTTCCAAGTCTTCAACTTCGACAAGGGTATCTTCACCTTGAGAGACTTCGAGGTCTTCTTCTGCGACTAGCACATCTTCTTCACTTTGGGGGGCTTCTTCTAGTAGGTCATCTTCTAGTGCATCCAGGCGAACCTCTTCTTCTTCTTCTTGCTCTTCCCCTGCTGCTGGAGTGAGGGAGGTCGCTCTGAGTCGGCGTTTGGCTTTACTCTCACCCAAGACGGGTGGTCCGGCAACCTGATAGACGAGGGGAGGTGCTTGCTCTTGCTGCTGGTAGCTGCTGATTGCAGTTCGCGTACCAGTCACACTACTGTTGCGTAGGCCTCTCTTGGTATAATTCTCTCCGAGTGTCAACCGAGAGGAAGACATGGACGACGTTTCTGCTGTGCTCACGGTGCTGCTCTCTCGCTTGGACTTGCGCTCCCCGAGCACTCGGGTTCGACGAGACGTCAGATCGGTATCGTAAGAATCTGTACTGTTACTCACGGTACGAGTATCAGAATCTCTTTTGATCTTGCGTTCCCCGAGTACTCGAGCTCGATGATCTCGAGCCGTCTTTCCGGCATCGTAGGAATCAACATCGACTTCGACAATCTCATCGTCATCTTGATTGCTCAAATCGCGCTGTCGCGTTGCTTTGCTTTTCTTCGTGTTATTATCGTTATTGCTCATCTTGGAGACGCGAGAGATCCTTCACAATCTGCCAGCATCCTCGAAAATGAAGATTTCAGCTCCGAATCACTGACTGAAAATCTTCGAGAGAGTCGAGTCAGTCGAGTCGACCCTTCACATCGGGCGACAATGTGCCATGCAATATGAGCCTGGCGGACTGAAAGTTTCAGTAGTTCTGGACTACCCACATGACATTGTAGTTGCAGTTGCATCTGCATCAAGGGCTGAAGATGCGACAAAACCTACATAGTCTACTCTAAACCCCCGTTTTCCTCCAAAACCACTGTACCGGTACTACTACTTTTGTGTACCAACTTAATAGAACTAATGCCATGCATGGTTTCTAAAGGTATTACATTCCTGGAGTACGTAGATACATGGATGGTGGCCTTCAGAACAATTTTGCCACTTGGAACAACCAAAAGGAGGATTGTTTATCCGTTTCTGGCCACCAGGACAAAATGTTATTCCGTACCAGTACTAGTGCTATGATACCGGTACATACCAGTATACGCGGTAAGCTGATACGAGCACCGCGGAACAGCTCTAGATTCTCTTTATTGGTACCGTAATGGCTGAAATAGAAAGATATAACTGCCCTTGCCGTCAGAGAGACTTGGTTTTGAAAAAGGAACCCTTCCGTGACCTCAGTATAAACTTGATATTTAGATAAGATATATCTGGTTAGCCAGATGCAAATCTGTTCTCTCACATGGATATCTTAAAAACAAGTCAAGTACCTCACTCTCAGATTCATTATTTGTTTGGACTCCTGAACCAATTAGACTATTTAGCAAGTACTAGTACTGTAGTATCGTATTTGCTAGCACTGTGGACTACCAGTACATCGCATTCTGGCCACAGGTATTCCGTACCGTCGTCTACCGGTAAGCGGATATGGCTACTAGATGCCGGTACCGGCAAAAATAATTACAGTGGAAATCTAATGTATGTACGGTTCGTGACATTGCCTTACTGTATGTACTCGTCGCCCTTGTCCGTAAGAATCCAGTAGATAAGACAAGCTAGAAACCCTACTTTCACGGTACTATTACAAATACTGTATGGACCGGTACAGCAAAAATAATTACAGTGGAAATCTAATGTATGTACGGTTCGTGACATTGCCTTACTGTATGTACTCGTCGCCCTTGTCCGTAAGAATCCAGTAGATAAGACAAAACACGTGATTGAATCATTAATCATTTCATGTACCTAGTAAGACAAAGTGTGATTGAATGATTCAATCATTCATGAACAGTTTGGTCCAAGAGAGGCAAGTTCTTGTGGATCTGGTAAGGTTTATTACTGTATATCCAAGTCTCACGCCATCAAGCCCAGATTCGATTCAAGTCTCACGCCATCAAGCACAGATTATTTTCGATTTTCCGCAGTCTCGAAGCTCTCTTTCCAACGAAACGAAACAAAACGAATACGCACCATGATTGTCGCTGCTCGCGCTCTTGCAAGTCTAGGTTTGTTTGTGTTGCCGCCTTTGGTGGTGGGTGACTCTAATTGGTGGATGGCCGTCCATCCACAAGATGCAACTCGTATGCCTGAAATGTTTTGCGAGTGTTGTGAAACTCCGGATGCAGGCAATGGAATTGGCGTTGCGGGAGGTTATCCCGGGACTCTGTGGTGCAAGGTCAATGCCCAAGATGCTTCAAGACATCCCCACCTTCAGTCTCTCTGTGAGTGCAAGGCATGGTGCGAGTACGCTATGATTCATCAATTCGACTACAACACGCCCAACAATCCATTGCGCACAAGCGATCTTGGGTTCATGGACCTCATGTGCAATGAGAACGACGGATCTCCCACTACCTACAAATGCTGCAAGGCGGGTTGCGGGGACTGTTTGGCAAACAGCCACCCTACTCCGGACTCGTGTCCCGCCGGCAGCGTCATCAATGGTGCCTTCAACCCCGACAGCTATGCTCACTCGTATAAGGCGGAGGACTCTGGGGAATGCCTCATGCGAATTGGTAAGCAAATCGAAACGAAGATGCACACGAACCAAACGTCCACTCGAGCGATGTGAAACAGATCGACTTACCCGCAGTTTCACTTTTTGCACGGTTGAGCTCAGTACAGCAATATCAATGCTGCAGGACAAATTGTGACCAGTGTTTGGGCGGTGCTCCATTTGTCACTGACCCACGGGACTGCGGCCCGAGCTTTCCGTTTGCACATCCCATCGGTAGTAGCTCCGGGAATTGCGTGCAGAATGCCTACACAACACCCAAGCAAGGGGAATACTTCTGTTGCAATCCGGGTTGCAGTGACTGCGCTCCTGGTTCTTTCAAGAATCCGGCGCTCTGTCCTCCACCATATGTCGTTAATAATGAGGTCCTCGGATATGGTGGTTGGTACAAGACATCTGATGGCAGCTGCAAAGAGCAGCCTTATCCCCGATTCGTCTGCTGCAGCGACGCCGCGTGTGGTGTCTGTGCCTTTGATGGACCCTTTGTATATGCCCCAGAACAATGCGCCGATCAGTACGGACATGTGCATCCGATTGGTACCAGTGAGTGCATTGAAATTCCAAACTACAGAAGCCAACGCCACAGCCAGTGTCAAGTGATTAATTTGCCAACTGGAAAGAAATGCGAGGATGTTGACGATCCTGAATCCTGTTGCTACTCGATTGATAATCGTGGAACTGGAACTGAAACCGAAGCCGATTTGGATGCAGGGCGCGGACAGCGCTGCGTTCCCTCCATCAGCACTTCCGGATACTCACACGGAGATGGGCTTGGGAAACGTTGCATGGGCGAAAAATGGGTCAAAGACCATGCCCACAATGAAGGCAACCCTGTGTATTGTGAGAACTTGAAAGGTGATCAAGGAAGGTCGGCCCTTCCAACGGGTAAGGCTTGCACCACCGTCACCGACCAAGCAACGTGTTGTGGCGCCATCGGCAACTTGAGGACCGACAGTTTCACGGCACAGCCTTGTGTTCCTGCGATCGATCCCGCTACTAGCAGCTTCATGTGCGTAAGCAAGGTATGGGCAGAGAAGAACCCCACCGCTGCCAATATTTTGAGCTGCACTGGGTATTGAACGAGTCGAGTCATCGCCGTTGAACCTATTCTGCGTGTCTCTTACATGTGGAAAATCATGAAGCAGGATGAATGATATCATGCATGGATACTTGAGTGATGTTTGCATGGGTGCACGGGCACACGTTCTGGCTGACTGGCGGCTGCGACGGTCTTGAAGGAGTGACGAGTGACAGTTGTGGAGAACCCACTCTTGAATATATAACATAGTACTGTTATGCATAGATTCATTTGAGAGATTTCGACTACCAGACTGCCACCTTTGTAGAATTGGCCGGCGGGGGATAAAGTAGAAGAATGTTGTTTAGGCAAACAAGGTTGAAGCTAAAGCGCTTTGATCATTCATTCTGGAGGCACCAAAGCCTGCGCACTAGCGTACGCTGTATCGTTGGTGTGTGTGTGCGACCGCAATGTCTTTGTTGGCAGAATCGAGGACAAATTTTCCAGCAGTACCTCCAATGTGCCTTCGTGTGGCCTTCTAGCAGTTACAGGGCGCATCCAAGGACCAAGAGCCGCATTTGACATACCGGTAGGTAGCTAGTATATCAGGTTGGTCGACTGGCGCCTGTGAAACTGTGACAAGATTGAAATCAAATTGAAATCGTGATGCAAATCCCCGTGGTGATCGAAATCCCCATGGTTCAGATCCCCGTGGTTTAAATTCCCGTGGTCTAAATCTCCATGGTCCAAACCCCGTGGTCGAACTCGCGAGTTGACGGCGCGATTCGATTAAATTCATCATTCCGAGGCATGACGGCGCCGAAGCGGAGACGACCGAGGTTGTCAACGAAGAGGAGGGCCTTCATTCGCAAGCAATCTGTGGTGTGCTACAGTAATCCGAGAGATATGCCGCTACTAGACTATTGTACTGACCCTTGCCCATTGAATCCAATGACATCCTAACGGAGGGCCGCAGGAGGAACATCATGGCGGTTACTTCTAAAGTAATGATCGGCCATATTATCGTGCCATCATGGAGAGCGCAACTTCCTCCCACTTTGGAGTGGCAATCTGTGTTTTATGAGTTATGAGGAGCATCTCGAACAGTCCATTGGTCCAGTCTGACACTCTCACCTTACCAGAGGAGACCCATGTGGAATTATTAATAAAAGGAATCAATCCCCGAAGCGCTGAAAGGGTTTACAATTGATAATCGGAAATCGGAAGACCTACAGCACCTCATAATAAACAAACACCAATCTGCCATAAACAGCATTAGACCATAGCTAGTCTATTAATACTCAGAAACGGTACGGTAACACAGCTACAGTTTCTCCTTTTCGCCGAGATCGCACGACGCATCAATCCTCAGACCTCGATCTGCTGCAGCGCTGCAGCCAACACAAAAAGACCTGCATCCATGCACGACGACAAAGCTATCTATACACTGCAGCAGCAAAAAGAGAAGAAGGAGCGATGGTCCATGAGCATGAACATCATCAGTCGACGGCAGAGCCCTCTCGCTCTAACGAGAGTGTTGGTTCGTCTACAGCTAGTACCGGTACAAGTACTCGTAATAATGAGCTGCTGAAGGCCTCGACTTGTGTGAAGACGTGGTAAGGGATGCCCCCGCACTGCTGTACAGCTATCAGATCAACCACGTGACGGGCGTGTCGAGTTTTCCGTTTGTGAGTTCCTTTTGTCAAGAGCTGTTGGGAGTCAGTGCGGAATCGGTCATGGAAGATCCTGCCGCCATGGTGAACTTGGTGCATCCTGACGATGTTCCCGTCTTTACCAATGCCGTCGTGGCCAGCATGTCAAACTTGACGCTCTTTGATCAGACACTCCGACTCAAGCATGCCAAGACGGGACTCTACAAGACGCTGTTGGATCGAAGTTTGCCCTATCGAGATCAAGTGGTCCATCCAGACACACAGGAACTACAAGTCGTCACCATTTGGAAAGGATTCATCATTGAAAAACCGAAACTTGCCTCCTCTAGTAGTGCTGCAAATAGTGGAGAAGAGGAGTCACAAGACATTATCAATGCCACGGCGCTCCTCATGGATTCTCCCTTGATTCCATTCTTTTCTGTCAACTCCACCACGGGGCAGATCCAGCAGTGGAACAAGGTCATGATACAAGCCACGGGATTCCAGCCAACAGATGTTCAGGGGAAATCCGTTGATTCTCTCCTGTCTTTGGACAAGGCTGCATGCTGCAAGTCGTCCACGTCTACCGGTAGTCTAGTAATTGAAACACTCCTCGAACAACCCAAGGTGGAAGCCACACCGAAAGGCAAGACAGGCAATGACGTACACCTGATTTTATCCGCGCATCAGTCCTCGACCCACAATAGTACATGTAAGACCACCAGCAAGACCATTCTAGTGCTCTGCCAAGACGTGACACTCCTACAGCAAGTCACGGCCCAACGCAACGAAGCCACGCAGCTCGCCGAATCCGAACGATCCTTGACCGAATGGTTGTCGCACGAAATTCGAAATCCACTCTCCGTCGTAATGGAGGCTGCACAGACCCTCGAAGCGGCAGCTCAAGACGCGCCCATGAATGCAATGCCCTCTGATTTGCATCACAGTGTCTTTGGAGGATCCTATCTGCAACTCATTCGACATTCCATCACCTACGTGGTCGATATTCTGACCAACATGCTCGACCTCAATCAATTGGCCGAAGGTAAAATGACACTACGACCCGAAACCTGTCGCGTCTGTGACGACATTCTCTTACCCACCAAATACATGATGACGGGCATGAAACGACAAGTTCCCGTTGAAATATCCGGACCCAATGTGGAGTTGCATGTGGACAAGCTACGACTCAAACAAGTCTTTTGCAATCTCATTAGCAATGCCAACAAGTACACATCGGAGGGAGTCATTCGGATCCAAGTCCACGAACCTTCCAACAACGACGGGCGACTCACCATTACCATCTCGGATTCGGGTGTGGGCATTTCTCCTGCACACTATCCACATTTGTTTAGCCGCTTTGAAAAGTTGGGATCTTCCATCAACGGGGCTGGGATTGGACTTTGTTTGTGCAAGAATCTATTGACGGCCATGGGAGGGGACATTTGTTTGAACAAGGAGTATCATTCGGGCATTGTCGGATTTCCCGGAGCCCAATTTGTCGTGCAGATTCCCTGTACGACGGTACCGGCGCCACCGGCATTTGATGCCCTCTCGGCGGCGCTAATGGCCACGGCAGCCGCCACGACAAAACCCACCAAAAAGAAGTGCGTCACGCAAGCCACAACAACAATGAGACCCAAGATACCTCCCAACACCCACTTACGGGGCAACTTTCGAATCTTGATTGTCGACGACGAATTGATTGGACAAAAGCTACTCGTACGACGGTTCCAACGCATCTTTCCCAGTGCCACCATTGACACGAGTCCCAGTGGCGAACGAGCCGTCGAAATGGCAACGTCCACCAAAACACAACAACCATACGATTTGATCACGATGGATCATTACATGGCCGTGCACGAAATGACGGGATCGGAAACCATTCGCGCGTTACGGACCCAAGGCGTCAATGCATTGATTGTCGGGATATCAGGAAATGCCATGCGCCAAGAGCATCTCGCAGCGGGTGCCGACGAATTCTTTCAAAAACCATTGCCCGCCACCAATATCGTCGTGGAGCAACTGTGGGGAAAGATCCCTCCACCGGCGGGATGGAAAGTGCTCCTGGTGGATGATACCGAGGTCAATTTGCATCTGTTGGAACGCAAGTTGCAGGCTGTGGCGGTACCGCATGCTTCGGCATCGGAGCCGCGATGGGATATTGTCCAGTGTACCGTCGGGGCACGAGCAAAGGTATTGATGGAGGAGAATCGGTACGACATGGTGGTGATGGATCAAACGCTCGAGAATCCGTCGTCTTGCGAGTCACTGACGGGCACTGAGCTCGGCAAGTTGGGGAGGAAGACACAGAACAAAGATGTCATCTTTGTGTTGAATTCCGGGTCGCCTGTGGGAAATGGAGAGCTGCCATCTTGCTTTGATTTATCGTGGTCGAAACCGTTGCCGTCTGTGGAAGAATTGCGGAACGACCTCTACCGCCAGTTGTTAGTGTGTCCCAAGGCAGCCACTGGACCGGTCAAACAATGAAGGCAATGACATCGAATTTCATTATACTACTACCGTGCATAGATGTATTATGATCGTATGGGGTCTCTGGAGCATTCTGGCAGCTTGACGCGTCTGAGTCTCAGCAAAATGCCTTTTTGTTGATACAGACATAACCATGATGGATTCACCAATGCTTAGTTAGGTTGGAGGAACAGATGCATGGATCTATCATAGCTATCTGGCGCACGCACGCCACTCATCAACGGATTAGTTCCTTCCTGAGATAGCCTCACGGTACTATACTCAAAAGCCAACTGCCATTCGACATCGCGGTGGGTGTCATCCTTGATTGCAAGCTACCTTAGCCCAAAAGAAGGGGCCAACAAACGCGCACCCCGCGTCGCACTTCGATGGCGATGTTGGTTTGTTGTGCTCCAACGCAAACTCGTAACTGCTGCCTTGACGAGTGTGCGGTTGAACTATCCACTTTACTTGGTATAGTAAATCTCTTTGATTAGCGCCAATGGAGCACCTCGCACGTTTTTACTGGCTCTCACTCTCTTGCTTCCCTCACCGCTTCCGTTTTGTGTCATTGGCATGATCCTCGGAATCATTTCCTGATTCCCCTCGATCGGGCGCCGCTCCACAAAAAGCAACAAAACCTCAGTCCAGCCGTCGTATTCCTTTTATTGTTGCCTTCCTTTGTTAGGTAAACAAGAGTGGCATCATGATCAACAGGTTGGACGCTCCCACGTTGGGGCGTCTCCTTCTCCTATTGGCAATCGTTGGAACTGTGGTAGCCAATGCCAATACTAACGAAACCACAAAGGTGCTTCTTCGTCGTCATCGACGACTGGTGCTCAACCAAGATGGAACGCTCCTCAATGACGTTGAAACCACTTTCCCAGACCTTCAACAATATGATTCTTTGAATGAAGATGCGACTGTTCAGCTCTATAGATTCACGGATTCCAATATTCCAGAGGGAACCACTGTAAGGTGTTCTTTGGATTGCACCGACACAGGTTCCTTTAGTGACGCTGCGATTTCATTCAAGGAGGGGACACTGCCAACATTTTACAACGATTTCAATGATAGAAGGACCAGTGACTGTGTCTTTACCAACGATTTCACCATGACTGCGACGGTACCCTTGTACGTGTTTTTGGCAAGTTCTCGAAGTGCTGGATTGGTCAATGGAAAGATCAGGTGCAGGACACTCCCCTCCACACTCTCATCTGATGGCACACTTGCTGATAACGTGGAAACCAGCTTTGCTGATCTTACATCATATGATGCAATGAATGAAGATGCAACTGTCCAGGTGTACAAATTCACAAACAGTGATGTACTGGATGATACAGTTGTCAGATGCTCCTTGGATTGCATCAATGATGAGTCGTTTTCTTCCAAAACTATCGCATTCCATGAGGGAACCCTGCCAATAACCTACGATGATAGAGATAGTGGATCCAGTGGAAACTGCTTCTTCACAAGAGACTATACCATGACAAGTACATTGCCCTTGTACATTTTTGTGACCAGCTTTGAGAGCAGTGGATTAGTTGGTGGCAGGATCAGATGCAGAACTCTTCCTTCAACACTCTCATTAGATGGGATCCTTCTTGACAATCAGGAAATCACATTTGCCGATCTTGCAACATATGATGAAATGGATGAAGATGGAACTGTCCAGGTTTACCAGTTCACCAGCTCTGCTATACAGGATCAGACAATCGTCCGATGCTCATTGGATTGCATCAATGATGATTCGTTTTCAAAAGTCATCTCATTCCATGAAGGAACCCTGCCAACAACCTTCACAGACAGAGACAATTTCAGAAATAGCGAATGCCTCTTCACTGATGATTTTACCATGACAAGTATTGCTCCCCTATTTGTTTTTGTCGCCAGCTTTGAGCGTGATGGATTAGTTGGTGGCAAGATCAGGTGTCGAGCACTTCCTTCCACCCTCTCATCTGATGGGATGCTTACTGATGATGTGGAGACAACATTTGCTGATATTACACAATATGATGGTATGGATGAAGATGGAACTGTCCAGGTTTTCCAGTTCACCGGCTCTGTCATACAGGATCAGACAATCGTCAGGTGTTCTTTGGATTGCATCAATGATGACTCATTTTCTAGAACCATTTCATTCCATGAAGGGACAGCGCCAACAACCTATGATGACAGGGATCAAATCAGCTTTGGTGATTGCTTCTTCAGCAGTGACTACACTATGGACACAATAGCACCATTATTTGTGTTTGTGACCAGTTTTCAAGGTGAAGGATTAGTCGGTGGCAAGATCCGGTGTCGAGCACTCCCCTCCACACTCTCATCTGATGGGACACTCTCTGATGATGTGGAAGTCAGCTTTCCAAATCTGCCAATATATGATCCTATGGATGAAGATGGAACTGTCCAGGTGTACCAGTTCACAGGCTCTGCTATCCAGGATGAAACAGTGGTGAGGTGTTCTTTGGATTGCATCAATGATGGTGGTTTCTCTGAGATCATTGCATTCCATGAAGGGACCTTGCCAACAACATATGATGACAGGGATCAAAGATCATTTGGCACCTGCTTCTTTGTTGCTGATTACACCATGAGCAGTATTGCACCATTGTTTGTGTTTGTGTCTGGCTCCACTTCTGGGGATGATGAACTAGTCAATGGAAGAATCCGGTGTCGAGCACTTCCTCAAACTCTTTCTTCCAATGGAACCCTTTCTGATGATGTGGAAACAACCTTTGCTGATCTGTCAGAGTATGACCCCATGGATGAAGATGGAACAGTCCAAGTCTACAAGTTCACAAATGCTGATGTACTGGATGATACAATTGTCAGATGTTCTTTGGATTGCATCAATGATGATTCATTTTCTAAAACCATTTCATTCCATGAAGGGAGCCTGCCAACAATCTATGATGACGCAGATGATCGTGTTTTTGATGACTGTTTCTTTACAAATGACTACACCATGCGCAGTGTGGCACCATTGTTTGTCTTTCTAACAAGCCGTGAGAGTAATGGAATCGTTGGTGGAAAGATCAGGTGCAGGGCACTTCCATCCACCCTCTCATCTGATGGAACTCTTGCGGATAATGTGGAAACCAGCATTGCCGATCTTCCAACATATGATGCCATGGACGAGGATGGAACTGTCCAGGTGTACACATTCACAAGCACTGACATACCGGCTAGTACCTCCATTAGGTGCTCTTTGGGTTGTATCAGTGAAGGCACGGTTACGGTCTCATTCCATCAGGGAACTCTGCCAACTACTTATGCTGACAGAGATGGTAGAACAACTGGTGGATGCTCCTTCAATGCTTTCTTCACCACAGGAAGTACTACTGAGCCTTTGTATATATTTGTCACAAACTTTGGTAATGATGGATTGATTGGTGGAACAATCACTTGTACATCGGGAACATTCACTCCTACACCAGGGCCAACAACAGCAGCTCCTGCACCAACTCGGAACCCAGTTTCAGGACTTGCTCAAGATGGGATACTTGCTGATAATGTGGAAACCAGCTTTGCTGATCTTCCCCAATATGATTCTTCCAATGAAGATGGAACTATTCAATTGTACAAGTTCACCAACCAAGATATTCCTGACAGCATTGTGGTTAGGTGCTCCTTGGATTGCATCAATACTGGAAACTTTGACAGCAGAATATCCTTTCATCAAGGGACCCTACCAATAACTTTGAATGACAGAGATGATAGTATCACTGGCAACTGCCTCTTCACCAATGATTACACAATGGCCAGCACAGCACCTTTGTATGTGTTTGTGACAAGCATTGACAGTGCTGGATTGGTTAATGGAAGAATCAGGTGCAGATCACTACCCTCAACACTCACATCTGATGGGACACTTGCTGATGATGTTGAAACCAGCTTTGCTGACCTACCACAGTATGACCCCTTGGATGAGGATGGGACAGTCCAAGCGTACACTTTCACAAGTTCCAATTTACCCGTTGGTACAGTTGTTAGGTGCTCTTTGGATTGCACCAACACTGGTTCTTTTGACAATAGATTGTCATTCAATCAAGGAACGCTGCCAGCAACATTGACTGACAGAGACGATTTCAACAGTGCAAAGAACTGCCCCCTAGTAAATGAATACACAATGGCCAGCACAGAATTCTTGTTTGTGTTTGTGACCAACTTTGATAGTGCTGGACTGGTCAATGGAAGAATCACGTGCAGGGCACTCCCTTCCACACTCTCATCTGATGGGACGCTTGCTGATGATGTGGAAACCAGCTTTGCTGATCTCCCACAGAATGATCGCATGGATGAGGATGGGACTGTTCAGGTATACAAGTTCACTGAATTGGATGTACCAGATGCTACAGTTGTGAGATGCTCTTTGGATTGTGCGAATACTGGTTCCTTTGACAGTGAGATTTCCTTCCACCAAGGGTCCTTGCCAACAGATTATGATGACAGAGATCGTGGGAACAGTGGCAACTGCTTCTTCGCCAATGCGTACACAATGGCCAGCACAGCACCCTTGTATGTGTTTGTGGCAAACTTTGATGATGCTGGTTTGGTCAATGGAAAGATCAGGTGCAGAGCACTACCTTCCACACTCTCCTCAGATGGGATGCTGGCTGACAATGTGGAAACCAGCTTTGCTGATCTCCCACAGTATGACATCATGGATGAAGATGGAACTATACAGTTGTACAGTTTCACAAATGGTGATCTACCAGATGATACAGTTGTCAGGTGCTCCTTAGATTGCCTCAACACAGGTTCCTTCGACAGCTTCATTGCCTTCCACCAAGGGTCCTTGCCAACAACTTTGAATGACAGAGATCGTTTCGACAGTGGCAACTGCTTCTTCACAGATGATTACACCATGGCGAGTACAGCACCCTTGTTTGTGTTTGTGGCCAACTTTGATAGCGCTGGACTGGTCGATGGTAGAATCAGGTGCAGGGCACTCCCTTCCACACTTTCATCTGATGGGATACTGGCTGACAATGTGGAAACAAGTTTTGCCAATCTTCCAACGTATGATGCCATGGATGAAGATGGAACTATACAGTTGTACAATTTTACAGGTTCCGATATACCAGATGACACAATTGTTCGGTGCTCTTTGGATTGCCTCAACACTGGTTCATTTGACAACAGAATATCCTTCCGCCAAGGAGCCCTCCCAAGAACCTTGGCGGATGACAGTACTTTTGGCGCCAGTAGTGGCAACTGCTTCTTCACTGACGATTTCACCCTGACAAGTACAGCACCCCTCTCTGTCTATGTGACAAACTTTGACAGTGCTGGCTTGATCAATGGAAGAATCAGGTGTAGGTCACTCCCCACAACACTAGCGTCCGATGGGACTCTAGCTGATGGTGTGGAAACCAGCTTTCCTAATCTGCCGGTGTATGATCCAATGGATGAAGATGGCACTGTCCAGGTTTACAATTTCACCAATGCTGATATTCCAGGTGGAACAACTGTTCTTTGTCGTCTGAATTGTATCAATGCTGGCACCTCTGACAACTCCCTCAGATTCCTGGAAGGGTCGCTACCACAAACCCTCAATCAATTTTTTGATGGACGAAGTGGAAATTGTCCTTTTCAGGCATCATACACTTTGTTCAATACTGCAGCGCTCTATGTCTTTGTCACTAATTTTGATGATGCTGGGCTGATTGGAGGCAGTCTCACTTGTTCCACAGGTACATTGAGCCCAACTCCAGGCCCAACTCCGGGTCCTACACCACACCAGGCCCTACCCTGACACCAAACCCAACACCAGCTCCAGCACCAGAACCCACGCCAGGCCCAACTTCAATTCCTACCCGCTTCCCTACACCATCACCCACCAATCCACCAGGTCCAGTTCCAACACCAAAACCTACACAAAACCCCAACAACTTCACTCCGCGAAAACCCACACCAGTTCCCACTCTAGGTCCTACTCCCACACAACTGCCAATTGAAGCCCCAACAGTTGCTCCCACCATTCTCCCCACAGAGGCACCAACACCAACCTGCTTTTCGGAAGATTCTCAAGTTATTGTGCTAGGACAAGGACAAACTCCAATGAAGGATCTCAAGGTTCGTGACAAAGTCCTTGTTGGGACTCAAGGCAATCAGACACAGTATCAAGAAGTATATGCCTTTGGGCACTATGACACCTCTTCCCCCACAGACTTTCTGGCAATCTATACCCAACCAATCAACCACCATTATTATTATCAACCCATGGAGGTATCTCCTGGCCATTTGCTCTTTGTCCATGGCAAGGAAGTAGCTGTGCGTGCAGACTCGGTGAAAGCAGGTGACTATTTGATTCAAAAGACCAGCACCGAAACAGCTAGTACCACCAATGATGATTCACTGCTTCAGGTGTCCAGAATTGAGTCCAGAACCAAGATTGGGGCATACATGCCACTCACCAAGGATGGCACCATTGTGGTCAATGGCATTGCTGCTTCAGCCTATGTCTCCATCCTAGATGATGCTCCTGATATTGTTCAAAAGTACATGGCCATCATGTCCGAAGAGACCTTGCTGCACTGGTGGTTGGCCCCTTACCGTCTTGTTTGCATTCACATCTCAGCCAAGCTTTGTGAGAATGACTACAATGAGGAAGGCATTGCCTACTGGCTGGCCATTGGAAAGTACATTGCTGCTACAGGCAATCATTGTTGGATTGGCATTCAGCTGGTTGGTCTGGCTGTTGTCACCTCCTTTATGGCCGTCTTTGTGGCGCTGGAAGTGATGGTGGATCACTTCTGGTTGGCTGCATTGGCTGGCTTGGCTGCCCTGACAGTCTGGGTGGGTAGGGGACCAGCCGGAAAGAAGAATTTGTAGTTTGTGTTATTGTGTTCATGATTGAAGTTTGTTTCCCCAGTCCGGTTGACTGGTTTCAATTTTTTGCATGCATTTATGACTGCAAGCTAGACTAGCTAGCTAAGATGGATTTACTTAATATCGCATTCCTTGAATCTGGATCTCTGAAGCCTTTAATTCGTACTGTGCGGTACTGTGCGGTTACTATGGCTTAGAGAGAGGTATGGTGAGGAGGGGGTGCAGGCAGAGAGCAATTTAAGAGGCACAAACGCATGTTGAGCCATTGATGCATCGAGTGAGCAAAGCAGCAGCAAAAACCAAAAGGGGGGGGGGCAAGGTGGGTCGCATGGAGGAGGAAGGGAGGAAGACTAGACTCTAGCGGAAGAGATCAAGGTTGCCTAGAAGCCTTCAATCCTGTTTGATGAGCTCTCCGTGGCGCTTCGAGTTGGCTCACGGAGGTATACGTGCAGATGGCTCAGGAAGGGTGTACAAGCGAAGTTCAATGACTCGACGGTGTAAATCTCTTGAGAATGTGTGTACAAACGATTTACGCAAAAGAACTTTGCCCTTTTAATAAGCACGAAACTGGTGCAGTTAACCAAATTTTGGTATGGAAAGATCTGACAATTAAATTTTTCTGAGTCGGCTTTATCTGTGAAAGGTGAAAGGTACTACAGTATGGAAGTCTCAAGGATTTAAGCACTTCATCTCTACTTCAACTCACCGCAAAGTTCGTTGAGGTGGGGTAATACAGCAGGGAAACAATGTGCACTTTGATTTGTCGACTGTCACTCGTCGTCAACGGGCTTGTTCCTATAGAGCTCATGCGCTTGTTCCTTTCTACAGCTATTGCTTAGTAACCATGAGTCTTTCTCTTGTTCGTTACTGGAGTGGTGCTTGGATCCGTCGATCCACTACATGCAGTAGTGTGCAGATCAGAGCAGGTTACAACAACATTGCCGCCAGGTGGTGACCCAGATTGGTCCCACGACGAGTCTGTTGCGTTCCAATGAATCGGACAATGAAGTGTACCTGTTGGGAACAGCCCATATCTCGGAAGCCAGTGCCAATGAAGCTATTCAGCTGATCCAGTTAGTCCAACCCAACAAGGTCTTTGTGGAACTCGATCCAGTACGAGCGGCTCGCTTGCGCGCCACAGAACAACAACAACAACAACAACAAGGCACGGAAGAAGATCCCTTGGAACAGGCCATGAAGGATGCTGCCCAACAGCTTGCCAAGACAACGGGTGGGGCGTTGCCACCGGCTTTGCCCAATCCATATGGTGGTGGCAATAATGAAAGCAACTTTTTTGGAGATTCCTTCAAATTATTTTACAAAATCCTGCGTGGGTACGGCTATGTCCCGGGCATTGAAATGCTGGCCGCCAGGTGCATTGGTCTACGGGGATCAAGATGTCAATGACACGCTACGAGAAATCAAGGCCGCATTTTCTCCTGCCTTGCTAATGAAACTCCTGTCGGCTCCACCAACGTCACCACAACTGCAAGCACTCATGATGGACATTGCCCAGGGTGGATTGGAGGGATTGGGAGACGCCACCGAACGGCTCAAAACTAGGGAACACGCACGCATGATTTCCTCCTACATGGACACGACCGCACCCGAGGTGGCCCATGCCTTGATTCATCGACGGGACATGGCCATGGCACAGAATCTACGGAAACACTGTGGACAAGGCAAAGTAGTTGCCGTGGTGGGATTGGCACATGTGGATGGAATTGAAAAAGAATGGGAAAAGTTGTCTTCTTCTACTGGCTCACGAGACATGAGTATCTAGCTAGTATCTAGTTGGCATGGCAATTGTATCCGTATGCGAGCAAGCTAATAACTAAGCATATCTGCAGAGTGACGGAAACGCAGGCTCCTCTACAACCAGCCACCCTCGTATGACACACCCTGGCGCTGGAAGAGAAGAAACGAATTACTTGAGTGGCGCTTCGCAGAGACAAGCAACCAAAAGTTGGAGACGACTGCTTAGCAACCCGAAAAGGGAACGAATATACCGAGAAGCATGGCAGCTCCCATTCAAGACCTTAGCTGGTTTTGCTTCTTTTGTCGAACGATAGTGCCTATAGCTTGCTGGGAACTACTCAGGCACTGTGCTTGACTTCAATCAAAGGGGTCCGGGGCAGAGACCAATGTTGATCAAGTGTTCCGTCGTGTGCAATGGGATCCTATGTTTTTAATTTTTCCAGTTGAACAGCCAAAATGACTACGTGGCCGAGTGGTTAAGGCGATGGATTGCTAATCCATTGTTCTTTGAACGCGCATGTTCGAATCATGCCGTAGTCGTTGCAACCTTCTTGTATGCTTTGTCTTTACCTCTGGAGATGCAACAAATGATCATCCCATCTCTTTTAGTTCGAGGCACTAGCTGCACCGTTGGTCTGCTTGGAGTCCACGCGCTGCTCGAATCATGCCATAGTCGTCCAACCTAATCTTTTGTTTGCTTTGTGTTTACGTCTGGAGATGCAACAAATGATCATCACCCTATAAAGACATAGATAGATCTAAGTGGATTCATATATCTATTATGCAGCAGCCAAGAAGGGATGACACTCAAATATTGTGATTGGTGTTGCAACTACCAGCTGACAATTTTGTTGGTAATTAGAATTCTTTGATTGTGCGTAGTTGGAAGTACTCTCATTCTCACCAGGCGACAAGAAGGTTTCTTCTGAGCTGCTCCTACCACTGTTCCCGGTGAGTGGTGGCATCTATGGGTTGTTTGTGGATGCATCGATCCCCACGACCCCCATTAACAACATTCTTGACTTTGTAGAAAAAACTACAAGCCACATGGGTGTTAGAGGACTTCAGAAGGGGCGACATTGCAAGAAAGGCACTTGCTGGTGATAAGACTCACTCAAGGTTTTATTATTCCTCAGGAAATAACGAGATTTTATTTTAAAGGCTACACCTCGTCAGATGCAAGACGATCCGCTGAACGGTGTCGTGACGAACCCATATACCTCAGGCGCACAAGTGCGCCCACTTAGGATGGGCCTAGTGTAAGCCCCCCACCGGAGAAATTTAACAAAACTCCGGAGGGTGCTGTACGACTAACTAGCTACCCTTGGCTGGATTGCCATCTATTTCTACGGTAAGACCCCCTCTGTGCATAGTTACCATGTGTCATTGTTCTGCACTGTGCGTGCATGCTCGTCCCTGAGTGCTTTGTCGACGACGGGCAGCCAATTGGCAAGCCACGCTTTGATGTCGCCTGGGCCTTTTGCCATTTGCTCGTCAAGCGGTCGCTTGAAGATAAAATCCACCAGCTCCGCTGGGATCAGATCCGCTTTCTCGTAGATGAGTTCCACCTCCCGCTGAAGCTGTTCGTGCTTCTTCTTCCACTGGTCTTCCCTGTCTTTGCCGTGCCTGGCAGCATTTCGATCTTCCCACAGGTTCCACCACTGCTTGATGAGCAGTGAGGCTAGGTTGGTGACCCAGAGAAGGTTTTATTATTCCTGTTGTAGGCCTCCTCCTCAGAAGCAGCTTCGTTCTTTTGATCTTGGCCATTTTGTAGTTATATAGCTGCTTGCTGCATTGACAAAAAAAGCAAGGATTTCGACACCTGTCTCTCCCAACCTTACAATTTTATTTTGTTTGTCATCTTTGCTGAGATGGTTTCCAGGCCGAAGTTGAGGCATTCGCCAAACGTATTTCCTCTTTGCTCGCTGCAAAGTGGAAACGCCCTTACTCAGCACTGTGGTGCGTGGCTACGTTAATGCTCAGCTCAGTCTGGCTATTCTTGCTTCAGGCCCGCTACTTCTGCATGCATGCGTGGCTCCTGTGTCCTCGCTGGCACAATGAGCTACCGCTGTTCTCTCTGGGATGCAAATGGTGCACTTGCACTCTTCCACTAATCTTGCCCGCTTTTTCGGGACCCCGCTCGCCTTCCCCTGTACTCCTCCTTTTGCTCATCGCGTTCCCCTTCCCCATTAGCCCCCCTTTACCCTGCTCCCATCCTCCCTGCTCTATCAGTAGTGCTGCCCACTGCCGGTATCGATGCCACCGCTCTGCCTAGCATAACCCCCCTGGCTCCTTAATAACGTATCTATATAGTATTTATTTTCTTCCATCTTAGGTCGGGTTCGAATTATGCCCTCGTAGCTAATAGTAGTCGTCGAGCAGCGAGTTGTGTGAATTTGGTGCCATTTCCTTGGACCTCTGTGAAATTCGGAGTCGTGCTTCGGATCGTTTCCTAAATCTTTCGATCGTCTCTTAAGGAAACTCAATTGTCTCCAATAAATAGGAGACGATTCGGATCGTCTCCTAATTCTTTCTGCAATACACGGCTCTTAGCCTTATTCGCGACTCGATCCTAGATAGGGTTTGAGTTCAACTCATGACTGAGTCTCTCGTGAATAGTCATTGAGACAGGGTTCTCAATGACCGCTCTAGTCATACTAGGTTGATGATGAAACATCACTCTAGATATTTAGCCAGCGTGGAGTACTTCCACACTACTAGATAAATGCTAGACGAACCTTCCACGCGTTCCGTTTTTGGATCGTGGAGTGAGTAGGATTGCTACTGCAACCTACTCTATCACACTCTACAGTTTCCCGCGGGAGTTCAGATCTACGATCCTTTGGTTGTGGATCTCTCTCGTTGATTAGTTTTCATAGCTTTCTAATCCTCTCATAACTTTCATTCCAAACTCAAAACACTCGAAAGATCTTTACACTAGCTTTTAGCGTAGTGCATTTTGTTAACAAACCACAATAGCTTCAGCAACCCTCAACCTATTCCTCACCATGAAGATTTCCAAAGACGCATACACCAGCTTCGAGTCTAAGCTGCGCGACAAACCAACCCCTCTACGATGAATGCGAAATCGACGATTCTGCTTACCACCTACAAACTTCCACTGTTCCAGCAGATGCTAACAGCGCCAAGTACACCTTCAAGGCCAAATCATCAATGGATCTGAGACTCCACGTCAGACCATCAAGTGGGCTGGACGCATGGAGAAGGTCTTCGTTGGCTCGCCATTGCTACGCTACCGAAAACATAAACCTCCTCAAGGAATGACTTCTAGCTCTGCAAGAGCAGTTACGAATCTAGCTGTGCAGGCCCCCGTGAAATACGTTGGAATGCCTTGCGCCAGATTGCAGTCAACGGATTCTCCACGCGACATACTGGTGGTGAAGACGAAGCCACTTTCCAAGCACGTTTCCAGACTGCCTGGAACGGAGCAGCTCAGCCTGCTTGGACGATGCTGACATTACTTTGGCATTAATGCCTGTTCGAAGCGGTCTGTCCCTACAAGGCTCTTGAAAAGCAGAAACGCTTCATGCGCCGCAAGATGCGTAAGCCTGCTGATATGTCTACTCGGCTTATGTCAACAACCTCAATCGGATGAACACCGATGAACTCCTCGTCTACCACCTTTTGGACCAACCAAACGTTGAACCATGACGAAGTCATTGACATTGTTTGTCATGGAATTCCACGCTCGTGGATGAAGAAGATGGACGAACACGACTTTGATCCTTTCTCAGCTCCTATCGGGAAACCATTGGATTCTGCAAACGCATGGAATCCTCTGAAGACTTTGACAAGGGCGTGATGCCAAGCAAGCTCTGAAGAAGAACAACAGCAAGAAGTACAAGTCTACTCGAACAACGACCACTCTTCCAAGAACGAAGAAAAATGGTGCGACTACCACGAGTCCAGCACTCACAACACTGTGACTGCATGACCCTGAAAAAGCTCAAGGCCAAGTCTCAGTCCTCGTCTGACAACGATAACAAGCCACGTACAACAAAGAACAAGACTTGGAAACGCAAGTCCGACGACGCCAAAGCCTACACCCAAGAAGAAACTCTCTGTCCTCATGAGAAGGTTTCCAACGCGCGCGGTCAAGGCTGATCGCAAGAAGAAAGCGAATGCAACCATTTTGCCAAGCGCAAGTCTGACAACTCGACAACGAGGACGACTCCTCTGTTGGATCCATCAACATGATGGACAAAAAATGCTGCCTTGACAAGGCGCTTTGCCGAATTCGATTCATCATTCGATGGAGAGATCTCCGTCTAGGATTAGGCCAGGATGATGATTCAACGGAACCATGTTCCGATTTCTCATACCTAAGTGATGAAGATATCTCACTAAATAGTAAACAAGATTTTGTTTGCAACTAACGAAGTCTACGGCAAATTAGATAATTGCCTAGCAACTACTCAACTAGACACTGACGATCTGTTCAGCATCGTTAACTTCGTCCATGGCAATCAACTCATCAACGTCGCAGACAGAGACCGAAACTATCGTTATGTAATTTAACAGACGGAGAAGGGAAACAAAACCGTTACACTCGTGCTACTGGATACAGAGACATCCGGAACTTAATTACTCAAACTCATGCTAAGAGTTTATCATAAGAATCATGGGGGCGTCCAAACATTACGGATTGCTTCTATGAAGGAATTAAACCCGCCGAAGTGTAGGGCAACTCGTGATTTCCTGAGTTCCACGATAATAGATTATCGAATGGAATTTACACGTCACCAAGAACTTGGGGGCGCAAGAATGATCATAGGTCAAGACACTCTCTTCGACCTAAGAATCAAGTTTGATTTCACTACCATGTCATTTGGGTGGAACAGCTATTTTTCCCTGCGAAAGATGCGATGCCATAGAAAGGAGAACTTCCTCCTTTCCCGATCCTGCAGCTGTCCACGACAATGCAGATAGTCTCAAGAAGATTCTTGACACGATATACGAACAATTAGACTTAAGGCAGATGTGCCAGAGTCGAAACAGTTAAAT